ATGATGAAAAATATTATTTTTCTGTGTGGTTAAAGAAAGTTCAGTTGCATTTGTGAGAATGTCATTCCAATTGGATGTCACAAGCAACTAGAAATACATTGACCTCCAAAAAGTATTGTCAAAGCAAAGTCAAAACTTTTATTTTAGATGACACTTACAGTAGCTTATCATGATCATGGCATGCATGGCCACCTCTAGATAAACTATCATCATTGATAAACTAACTAATAATGGCAGCAGTGAAATAAATTCTGAAGTTTACTGTTTATGTAAAAAAACTACTTCCATACGTATTACCATACATATTTGATAGAGCTTCACCACATAGCATGACAAACATCCAAAACATATGGCCAATGCAATCAATGAGTTAATTGAAGAAAAAGAAGGAAAATCTTGGACTGACCAAGTCGATTTCCAGATTTAATCTAATTGAGAATGCATTTTACAGTACATGTTGAAGAAAACATTGAAGTCAGAACGTAAAGGCTGGCAAAGTATCCAACAGTTATACAAAGAGATAGGTGAGCGCAATGGGTTATGCAGTTCATGAAATTACTGCCTGAAAAGGAATAACTTTATGAAGTTACTCAACCAAATTCTTCATTAAATGTAAAAATGTGCAATAATTATAAAAACGCAACTGTTTCAATGAAATTTACTTAAGGTGAATGTACTGTATACCAATACAGTGCTCACTGAACACTTGAAATCACTGAATTAAAAGCAAATTGATTTTGGACTAACACAATCAAATGTAGGCATGGCTTTTACCCATATCAATGACAATATCTTGTACATTGGAAACACTCCGATAATTTGAAGGGTTTCGAGGTATCCCTCCTTTGCAAACTGGGTCTCAAATTTATATGCTTAAATAATGAAGAAAAAAATCAGCATGCTCTCTCTGTTTTTTAACTCACTCACTGTGTGATTATAATCATTTCTTACGTTTGCATGATGGCTGTCGTCCTGACCAGGTTCCATTGGGGAAGCACATCCTTTCGGCTGAACCATAAAGAATGTACCCTGTAGCACAAGTGAAGCGCACCTTGCTTCGGATTTTAAAGTCACTCTCTTCCCTCTCACCATGTGCAGGAACACCTGGGTCCCCACAGGTACCTGAAGAATCACCTGCAGACAAAAGCAACATTAATCTTATAACTGAATAGGACATTTAGTATAGGGTGAAAATCATTTGTAATAGATTCTCAACAGCTCCTTCAATGGTGTTCATGAGCTTATGAGCACATGAAGTAGGGACATACTGTATGCTACTCTTGAAAAGGGTGCAATCTTAAAAATAAATTAATTTCAAGCTTCCCATCATAACATTCAAGAAATTTAAAAACAGAAATTTCTGTATTCCCTGCAAATACATATACAACAGCAAAATATACCTTATCCCACTGGCCATTCAAGATAACCACTGTGAACCATGTTTGTTCAACAATCTCATTTATGGTTTTGTTTTGCCAAAAGTGGTCTGCCTTTCACATCAATGAAACAAGAAGAATACTGGATTAATGTGTTAAAGGTTAACATTTATAAACATGAAGATTCCCCGTTTGTCAACATACTGTAACCGTGTTAAATCTGGCAACCAATATATGTGAACATCATAGTTCAAATGTGCTTGTCTCTTCACATTCATAGCAATGTGGCAAAAAAGAGCAATGGGAGCTCTTTGACATAGTTTTATGTAAATAACATTTAAGGCTGCTTATTACTTTATATTAAATGAATCTCTTGTTATACAGGGGAATAATTGTATTTTTTACTTAGCTTGATCTCCAATTTTATGGATATAAGCATGTCTCTTGTGCAGGATTAGTCACACAAATAAAGAATGAGAAACATAAACCCAATTGATTGTAAAAGTAAATTCTAAGGCAACATATTACTTTCCCTCTTGCTTTATAAGTATCTAGTTAATAATAAAAAAATAGCTGCTATTTTGTCTCCATTTTTCAGCAATTCTGTGTTTTCTCAGGCCTGAGATTAAGCAGAATAAACCACTCAGAAAGTCTCAAATTACAGCCAGAAAAAATGGAACTTTCTGTAATAAATTACTTTTTGGTATCATTAAGTACCACATTAATTAAGACCTAATTAATTTTGAGGCTTAATAGCCCTGTAATGCCCTACTCATTAGTAACGTATCATAAAACCAACAAATGGCCCTAACAAAATCAATTTTTATACTGTAAGTCTTGCATACCACTACAGACTTATATCAGGTACACACTGAGCTCTATGCAAACCCAGGAGACATATTTAGGTAGCTATTATACAGAGCTGCAGGCTATTTCCTGTACTTATTTACACATGAATAAGGCAGTCCAATGAATCGTATGAAGCTGTTACCTTTGATTTTCTAATAATTAGGAGACTACCTACTGTTTTTCAAACTTACATTATCCTACAGGTCTTTTTACTCAGTTTGATTTTGAACTGAATGTTTCTTGGCCCTGAAAATTTGATCGTTCCTCTCCAATGCAATGTTCACAATCCAACAGTTTGGTACAGTAACTATCTTAAAAACAGAAAACCAAGGAAATAAAGTGTTTAGTTTTCTCACCAAGTGAAAATTACATACCCTGCAAACAGGAAGCATTACAACCTGAAGACTGTTTGTTCATATTCTAGTTACAGTACTGCTGGGGATCTCCAGTAGTGCCGCAGAGCAGACCAAGAGTTTCTGGATCTTAAGCAACTCAACCATTTCTAATTTGCTGGCACTGTTCCTGCTCAGACTGGGAGTATCTGTGTTGCTGTGTGTACTGAATGAATCGCAGTTGTGCTCAGATTGGAATCAAGAGTAAGACACTGACATTTAACAATAAGCAAAGCTATGAATATTTATAATCAAGAACAAAGATTCTGTAATTAACACAGAATTTCAATACAATTCAATAACTTCAAAAAATTCAAAAACAACAAAAAACAACAAAAATACTGTAAAACAAAATAAACAAAGTAACCAAAAGAAACAAAAAAAAAGCACCATGTTACCCTAGTATGGTGCCATATTAAATCTGGAACCAAAATAAATTATCTAGCTTGTATGCATAATATACTTTTTTCTGGCACTACCCAAAGTGCATAACCATATTGAGGTTGTTGATCTAGATTCACAAGAAAACTGGGAATTTTGTCCGAAAACTCAGCTCCCACATCACCACCATGGTTCGGTAAAGAATCCATATTATTTCATCCACTACAACAGTCCTCTGGTCACTCTCACAATTCCCTCTACCCTCAGTTGTGAACAAGACCCCAGGGAACTTAAACTCCTCCTCTTGGGGCAGCTGTTCCCCCCATTTCTGGAGAGAGACATTTCAGCTTGTTCAGGGAAGTCCAATTCTATTAATGTCATTGCAATTACAATGGGAACAAGTAAGCACCTCAGAGGGTATAGTACGTAAGTATGTAAAAATAAAAAAAAGAACAAGAACAAAAACAACAAACAAGGTGTTAGCTAAATGGATAAATGGAGCTCTAACCCCAGACTGCCATTTCAATATAGAGATCGTGTTATCTCCCCGGTTGTGAATATTTTTGATAACAGTGATTTAATATGAGTTATGAATAACTCCCAACTGAAACGTGAAAGATTCCCTGCATACTATACATACAGTACTAAATTCTCATGTGAGATGATTGATATGCTTTAACACCGTTACTTTGTCTTGTGTTACATCAATTTTTAGTCTCTCTAAGTGTGTTGTCTTATATTAAATGTGCTGAGTGCACCCTATTTCAGGGACACAAGGACATTATTTCTTTATTAGCCATCCCAATGGTCATATTCTACAAATCTGAAATGACAGTCATGAGACCATTAGAGTTATGGTGAGAGGCTGTTCTTATGATTTGACAGAGTAATATACAGTGCAGAGTTTAGCATAGGAAAAAAAAGCATTTTACTTGTTACCCTGAAAAGATTTAATTATAAAATAATAATGAATAAGATTAATGCTTCCTTTCTGGTTTATCTAAATAAAGTATAGTTCTGCATCATTCTGCTGACATGCCTCTGTACAGCTTCTTTGATTTCAATTAAAAATTAAAATTTCTAAACCAATAACATACTGGAGTTAGCATTATAGCAAGTTATTAGTAACAATAAACATTTATTTTATATTAATAATTTGACAGATGGTTTCATCCAAGGTGAGATACATACTGTATGTATCCATTTATACTGCTGGACATTTTAATGACACAAGTGTGCAAGAGTACAACAGCAGTTATAATCCCACCTCAGATTTAATAAACGACCACATAGCTACTGTCTAAAGCCTAACATCTACTTACACTGCTGCTCCGGTATACCCAACCATTTGACAAAATTGAAAACGTGTATTTTTTTTGGGAAATATGGTATGCTGTTATTTTACCATAAGTTTACCATTACTCTAAAGGTAAGCAATGTAACTGTTGGAATTAATATCCTTTAACTGTTTATGAAAACAAAATCTTGACTGGTTGATAATTAATGTATGTTCACTAATCAGGGCTCAGAGAGTTTTGATATAAGAGTGACACAATAAAAATATGTCATTCTCTGTCGTAAAGCTGCTACACACTGAATCACGCACCTTGCGAGCCAGTTTAATCAATAGTCCATAATATATAGAGAAAAAAGTTATAATAATCAGAGATTTGGATTCCTGCTGTTGGGAGTCACAACCGACTCGGTACTGAAGCCAATGAATTGGTATCAAACTGAGATCATGTTGTAACACAGGGATATGTTTTCTGTATCTAAAAGGAGCTAAAGCTCGAACAGCCAATTGGCGCATATGGACCATCATCAATACATAATTGTCAAGACCACTTACATTGTGAAAAGATGTAGGCAACAATTTTGTACATGCTTTTGTTCCCAGGCAATCTTTGAGAGATTGTAAGATTTATCAGTTGGGTACACCTCATCTAAGAATGAGACATTTTATTATACCATGCTAAACCAAAAAGTGACACAAACAACAGGGATCTTATTGTAATCGTATGCCCATGAATGGGGTTCAACTCGGCTGTGTTCCACATTATATGTTGCATTACTTACATCAAAAACAAAACCAGACTATAGTTATAACAGACACACTCCAAATTAAAACAAACACACAAATGACACCTCAAATCCCATTGATGAAACACAGAAAAACAGAAAATCCTGGGAAACAGAAAAAGCAGCTGAATTAGCAATGTTCAGTTTTAGGGTTTTGAAATTCTGCCAGGAAAACAAAATGCTCAAGGGCAGATTACAATAAAGAGCAGAAAACATCCAAAGGGCTTTAGAACTCAGAACTTGAAACCAGGGAAAAATCCTCTGATGTAGTGCTCCTGACTCTTTCAGTTTTTTTTTTTTTTTTTGTGGGGTATTGACCTCAATATACTCTCTTAAAGAACCAAAAGGAACAGAATGTTTTTGTTTTAATTTATAAATTAGGAATGTAAATACTGTAGGGTATCTTCCACCATGTTAATCTGCGGGTTAAATTATACACTAAATGCATTCTATTGTTATATATTAATAGTATTCTTGTATATGTATACATGTATATACAAAAAACTACAGTATGCTGACATTTTTCTAAAGACCCTGATAAGCATGTGAGAAAGAAAGTTAACATCTGAAGAACTTTAAATAAGCATTATTAGTAATGTAAAGTGTTTTATGCAAATATTCTGTGGAAAAAAAATACTAGACAAAATTGTATATCATGGAATTATGAAAAAAGTTAAGGATGTTACTGGATTTTCTGCTCTACAGTGAAAGCAATCACCCCGATGGCAATTTTAATTCTTTGAATGAGATTTCATCATTTTTGCAGTGTTTAATAAGTTTTTTTGTTTAATTTTTGCATACTCATATGAATAAAGGTTGTGATCGTGCAGACTTTAGCAAAATAAAATACGTGTTTATTACATGACAATGAATTCAGTTGCTGTCAATTTTAAAAGCAATGTTACGTAGTTCTAAACACAATGAACAAATCAAAAAGAAAACAAAACTAACATGTAACACTTGTGACAATCAATGATGAATATCACCCTGGCACCACTTCTACTCCAACAATGAGTCTATGCATTCCCTTTCACAGATCTCCTGGGGGACCATGAGGGGTGCCTTCTGTTGTCACTTCTACCACCAGAGAAAAGGTCTTTATTTCCACAATACTTGTACTTGTTAGTACCAATACAATATGTCCATCCTTAGCATCACTGTTAAATGCCTTGGCATGGGTATACACATGGGTGCTACAACATGAGCTAAAGAAAACATTTTATGTCTATTTGAAACACATTAACAAATTTAACAAGAAAATCAAAAACAAGAGGGCACAAAGGGAACAAATGAAAAGAGGACTAAAAGAAGCAGGAAGCACTTTATACTTCAGAGTCATAATAAGTGCTTGGAACAAGGTACCCAATTCCAATGCAAACCTTATCACTAAAGCTGATTATGATTCCTCAGGAAGCAGTTTAATGAATGTCTTGTAAGCTACTGTACCAACAAAAAAATGGACTTGACATTCAAATACATTTACCTTATTCACCATAGCCTTCATTTTCTTTTATATCTAAAATGGTACAGTATGAAACATATAAATCTGATTCATATGGTATGAAACATATAAATCTGATTCAAATGGTATGGTATAAATATGGTATATAAAAATATCTTCTTAATACTAGTTTTATTACCTTCACTAATACTCAGCTGTGTGTTACTACAGCAGATTAGTCAATATGCTGTATAGCACTTTATTTGCATAGTGTAAACTAATGCATTAATAACTCTCAGTAAAGGATTTCCATGGTAAAAAGACACTGTGTCTTGCAATTCTGTAGTGAAGATGACATTTCCTCAAAGTAAACAATTTATAAAGCTGATTCCAGGTTGAGGAGAAAGAAATCTAAATATCTACATTTGTGAAAGTCTGTTCTCACTGAAAAACCAAAAAGGCCATTAAAAATGAAGATATTTCATTATACACTTGACAAGATATCCCAGGCTTTAATGTGTGATTGCATCCGTTAATTGTGTTATAATATGTATGTTCTACCATTAAAACAACACTTTTGTAAAAAAAAATCCCAAAATTGAATTCTGATCCGTTACCACATATATTCAGTTCGAAAACAAGTTTCAAAATTACTTCTTATGAGGAGACTGCAATGTACTGTAGAAACATAATGAGTGGATGAAAAATAGCCTGCACAGTAAAATTTATTCTGCAAGAACTAATCTTTATCTTCCTCTGATGTTTAATTATAAACCATTCTAAATGATTTTGTGTCACAATTAAAAAACTCCTTTATCCATATTGCCTTACTTTCAATACAGCGCAATCAATTAATTATGCTCTAAACTTTAGCACAAATATCCATATAATAGCTGTGATCTTTATTCAAGATTCATATTCATGGCTCAGGAAGTAAGTCTTTGACAAGTTTATAAAATGCCTTTGAGATCTCTAACATAAATTGTATTTTGTGCATAGCACTGCTGGCCAGATTGGAGAATCTGGAAAATGTGTCTAGGGACATATGGCTCAAGACTTTCACAAAAACTCTTTCATATCAATGATGATCCCACTTCTGAGAAATCCTGACTTTTGTTACACTACACAAGCTTCTGACCAGGCTATCACTTATATTTTACTTCAAACAAAAAAATCTAGCTTTCCCGGAGCTCCAACTGTACTGTCTTCAAGTGTTCTAAGTGTAATTTGAGAGAGCTATACTGTTTCTCCAACTTAAACTTCTTTGTACAGCTCTGAGACTTGCACTGTGGTCAGCTAACATTCTGATGAATAAACCAATACCTTTTTATGCACAACAAACTCTTGTGAGAATACAAACATTGCATCTATCCATTTTCTAACCTACATTTTCCAGTACAGGGTCACAGGTGGAGCTGGTGCTTAAGCTGGTAAGTGGAGGTACCAGGCAGGATATACCCTGGACAGGATCCCAGTCTATTGCAGGGCACAAACTCGCACCAGGGCCAGAAGCCAATTAACCTCCCTGCATGTGGGACTGTGGTAGGAAACCAGAGCACCTGGAGGAAACCCAGGTGAACACATGGAAAACCCACAAACTCCATGCAGATAGCACCCCAGGAATAGAACCCAGGGCTCCAGCGCAATACTACCGTTGCACCACCATGCTGCCCAAAAACATTACATTTCAATTAATTAAACAATTAGTGTCAACAGGTGCAACTGTGTACATATGCCAATTGTTCTTAAACCTTTTTTACCTCGGCCTCTGGTGGTGTTCACAATATTACTGCAGATCTTGTTGCAGTGGACAGCATGTAAAGTAGAAGTAAGATTTAAGGGCTTAGTCTTTTGGAACACTGGGGAAAATGAAGCAGACCTTTCTTTTTCTTATATACTGTATATACAGTATGTATTTCAGCCACTTTTATACCTGGCTAGAAACTTGCAATATATAACAATATATAAGCACTTTAAATCCTTCAAGTTGCCTATTCTGCTCCAACTTGATCAAACATAACTCACATTCCACACATTCCACAATAGCTAGGAAATAATAATCATAATAATAAAAAGAAGAAGGACGACTAAGTAGCAGATAGGTGGATTATTATTTTCATTTCTTTAATCTTTTAAAAAGACAGTTAAAATTCATAAATCATATCTCAGGTAATTAAAGGGGTCTTTTAGGCAGCAGTTAGATGTCTAAAATGTCTTGGTTTACAACAGGTTTATTTTAACTAAAAAGCTTTGGACTTTGAGCTATACATTATATGGATATTGATTTATATGCTGTACAGTATATATTTATAGCAATGGACTGGAGTACCATCCAGGGTTCGCCAGGAGTAGCATTCCTTGGCTCTGTTGATTGCTGGGTTTGGTTCCAGCTTCCTCGTGACCATGTACTGGATGAATTGGTTAGAAGATGCATGGATATACAAATATACTTTGGCAGGATAAAACATGTGCATGTGAACATACATCGATACACCTATATGCAATGTGTACTAAAAACAACAGCATATACTGTACTACATATTAAAAAAGAAAGAGTATTATGACATTATATCACATGTACAGTGCAAAATATATAAAAATGTTGTGGGAGATTCTGAGGTATTAATGAATTGTTTTCTGAGCTGATAAGATAAGATATGAAAACTATAGAGTTTAAATAAACGTCTTATATCTGGCATCGTTACACATATAAATTACGAGATTTAGATTGTCAGGTGACAATTACTGACAGGTGATCTCTTCTTGTTTAAGTTTAACATCTGAGGTGTCACTAATGAGGGAAGGGTCCTAACACCTCAAGGAACACAACTCAAGATTGATCTTGTCTTTTGTGCACGTTAGTAATATACATTCCATATTTTAGCAGACTAAATCTAACAATGTAAAAAAGGAAGAGAGAAAAGACAAACCTTTTGAACAGAACATTCTAGAATGCATGAATAAGCCTTTTCATTTCTATTTTCTACCTCCTGTTCCATTGTTCTTATCTAATAAAGGCTGAGAGTACAGTTCACAAATACAATTTGTTCTTGTGTTGGTTTGGGGTTCAGTTGACCAAAAAATTTAAATATTAATTTGGTCTACAAAATTGAGGGCAGCCAAAAATTGCTGCAAAGATAGAAGAAGAAAAACATTCCCCTTGAGGATGGAGCTATACTTTCTCACTGAGACACTTATGAGCAGATGGCATCTAATTCCAATAAAGGACAGCAAACACTGAATACCGTGAGGACTCTACAGATCAATTGCAAGTCAAGATTCAACAACTCCTGCAAAAAGATAAACTGAATGTCTAATTAAATGAAGAATACCAACACATTGTGGGAAAAAATGTCTTCCACAAATTGCTTTTCATCCACAAAGGAATCACTGAAAACCTTTATCAAATATGGAGGTTGAGGTTTACATTCCTGCTCGTTGTTTATTTGGTTATTTGATTTCTGCTTGATTCTAGAAATAATAAGAAGGCATTCCCATTTTAACTGATCTGATATAATATCTGAATTACAGGACACATTTGTTTAAAGTTTAAGTAAATTAAAACTATGAGTAAAAAGAATGTTTGATTATATTTGTTCAGCTGTTTTCTTAACGTCACCTAAATGATTTTGATTTTTTTTACCTGAACAATAAGGCATGGGTGCACTCCAGTGTCCATTCAGCTGGCAGGTTCTCGTAGATTGTCCTTTAAGCTCTCTCCCTCCCATGCAGGAATAACGCACGGTTGACCCAAATGTGAATTTATCTCCAATTAAAATACCATTCGGAGGTGAACCAGGATGACCACAGTCAATGACTGAAACAAACAAAGGATACAGTTGAACATTTTTGTTCTAGTTATAATAAATTACATTGTCTATTTGATCATCTGAATAATTGTCAGTAAAGTTTTAATAAAGGGATACACTAAAATGTTTGTACTCCTGTATATTTCATACTGTTCCTTTTTTCTTTTTTTAGATTTTGGCTTTATGGATGGAACTCCTATACTTCACAGAGAGAAGACATGGTCTTCTAACTTGCTCATGTACTGTATGAGAACCAGCTGTATCGGACATTATCTTTTCACTTGAAGCTGTACAGAAGACACAGAGCTGACTGGAAGAGGGAGACATCTCTTAATGAATCACTTCAAAATTGCAGTAACCCTGCAATTGCAGAAAATTGAGAGCTTGGACCATGGAGCTACATTCATGTTTTGAGCCAAGCACCCTAAATAACTGAAACCTAAAAATCACCAACCTTATAGAAAAAAAACAAACAAATCAGAGTTCAAGGACATTTCTTTTAAATTTACATTCACAAATTCTTTATTTCTTTCATCACTTGTGGGTGTATGTTTCACCTGAAACAGTTAACTTTGAAGCCTAACAGAACTACAAATGCAAAAGCATATACAGTAAGCTCTGCAGGGCTAAAACAGCAAGCCTGAACAACTGGGCAAACTGCAAAAATAGAAATGTCACAGCAGGAGCATTAAAAGATGAAGCACGGTTATGAAGTTAATTATTTTGTGGTAATAATACATTAAAGGGGAACTGCAGTCTCAGTTTCTCAGACCGGTTATTAAATCTCAAAATTGATCAATTGACAGTATTGCAAAATTTGACAAATACTGAATTAAGCACAAAATTACAGAATAATCGGCATGTTGTCTCAAAACACTGGTCTCACCACAGGTGTGAGTGAGAATTTGCAAAAATTGTGACATGAAGCATGCCTTTCTGCTCGCTAGTCACTATAATGACGAATATAATGTGATGTACAGTGAGTAGGTAGAGGTTGTGCAGCAGACGTTTTACTCCAGATATGTTCCAATGTTATCTGCATGTAAAGTTAACTCGTACAGTAAGTTGTACTTGTCAGCTCAACCGCCTCGAAATCAAGAACAATATTTCTATTGGACTAAAAGAGATATTTACCAGCCTGCTTGTTTACAATATAATAAGGCACTTCACTTCACTGGGAGTTTGATTGCCTCATTCTAAATCTCAGAATATGGAATTGAATATAACTGGACATTTAGTCTATTTTGTGTGTACATTTTACTTTCACTGTGGTTTGCAATGCACTCATCAATGCCGATTCTCTCTAACCCCAAAACAAAAAAAGTGTTGTGGTTCCCCTTTAAGTTCAGTGTAACCCTTTACCTATTTGTCTTTGAATATTTATGGTATAAATAATAAGAAAGTCCTGCATTCAATTGGTAATTTTGCTCCCAAGCTTTTTCCTCACAGGTATATAAAAAAAATATATAAAATAGTTTAAAAATGATTACAGTTTCAACAACTGCATGCCAGTGCAGTGTAAATAACTAATAAAAAGGGTAGTGTATATAATAAAAAATGTTAAATGTACACCGCAAGGGATTTAAAAATACAAATCTTTGAAAGAGAGCTAAAATCTCTAGGATTCAAGTTCTGCTATGAAATAAACTAGAGTTATTAAAAAATATATTTGATTCTTGTAATTCAATTTCAATAGGACTGACAAAAATGATGATTGAACTTCTCAGTTTATCCTCAGATGGGTATCTGTGTTGGCAGACCCAAGCACACGTTTTCCTGCCGTGAAGAGCATAATTGAGTCTGCATCATCATTTCACTGCATGCCCCTGTTAAGCAATGTCTGCCAGTGCTGACAAAACAGAAGACTGTGTAATGCTGTTAGCTGCTATTCATTTGAGACAGACATGTGGTCCCTATACTCATTTTACTCAAATGAAAGACTCCCAAGATGTCATGCTCATGTAGCTGTTTATCTTATCCTCTGTATTGCCAGCTTGAGAATGAAGGACTGGAATGTTTGTAAAGTTTAACACCCACGTGTCACACCACCATCTCAGAAAAACAATGGCTATTAAAAATTATACTTAATATTTTTTTGTTGTTTAAATATAATTGAATCCTTTTCATGGATATTTTAAAAGCATTCTCCTAAGGAGTCAAATTAGCTCTTGCCTTTTTTTAAGATAGATAGTAAATAGTAAAATAGTAAATACTTAGAACAGAAGATATAGAAAGATAACTATATATATGGAAAAGGCAAATAAAAACATATGTTAAAGAAACTGGAGAAAACTATTCCTGTAACAAAAATTTAACATTACTCATTGTATGTTACAGATGGGTTTCTTTTTTCCTGTCTCACATGGAGTGAAAATCAATTTATCCTTTATCGTGTAACAATCAGAAATGAACACTTTAAATAAACTATAGACAAGTGAAAGATATTGTTTTGTTAGATACCTAAAAAAGAAAATAAGATACCTAATTGTGTCATTCATTATACTGTATATATCAGTTTCATTTAAAAGGATTCAATGTGGACAATGTGGAGTATCTACACTATGTTACAAACTTCAAAATGACAACTTACCAATGCATTCAGGTAATGGTTTATCCCAATGACCAACAGGCTGACAGGTTAGCACAGATGAGCCAAATAAATAATACCCAGGATTGCAATCATAAAACACTACAGTTCCAAAGGTGAAGTTCCCATGCTCTATCTTACTCTCCCTTATGGAATTGGCTGGGATTCCAGGGTCAGAGCAGTTGACCACTAAAGGCAGAAACAGACATGTTATTTGGAAGAAACATAAACATTCCACACTATTTCTTCAATATGAAAAGCTTGAACCTCTGCATCAGTAAGTTCTATTACAAGAATTAAGCAACTTGTGAATTGAAATCATGCACAAGTAACAAATTTGTGTGCAAGTGCTTAAGAAAAATATAGATCAATGATTAAATGTACTGCGCAAGTCGATAATACCCATCACATTTCTTTTTTTTTTTGTTTGATGAAAAAGCTGCTGGCCAATAACATTTTGGATATGCCTTGCTTTATTTATTACTGCAGTGATCAGTATTCTGCTAATACAGCAGGACATTACAGAGTATTCACATGATAATAAATGAAGCATACATTATTGCCATGCAAAGCTGTTAAAGGCTTTGAAGTACCCATAGCAGCAGTAAAGCCAGAAATTCTTGTCAAATGCCAAATACGTATACTTTCTCAAGATAAACTCAATGCAAAGTCTTCAATTTCAAATTGAACTTCTACTCAGTTCAATTTACAAAGTATCAGAAAAATCACATTTTTCTATTTTTTTAAAGACTTTCACTCATATACTGTAGGAAGAAAAACAAGATGTTTGCATCACAAGATCATTTACAAGTGTGAATTGGTGTATACTTATTTGAAACATTTCTATTATTATATATTCTGACCAGATGTTTTCAATCAAAAATGGATTTATTTATAGAAATCATGACAGTCATTGACAATTTTCAATATAATAATAGAAGATTAAACAATATAATATGAATTAATATGGAAATTTGTAATTAAGCCAGGATCATTAACCTTTGACATAAAAATAAATTTGCAGTAGTATACAAAATCTAGAATCTATATCTAGAATTTTGCCTTTACAAGATGCTCAAGGAATTAATAGTGAATCAAAAAATAAATATTATATTCTTCAAAGCACATAGATGTGGGCTATCGCATAGAGAAAGAATTACAATACAAAACAATCAAGGCCAAATAAACTGGTAAAAAAGTCAAGTGTGTAATAAAACAAAGTTATGAAGGAACACCATAAACTACTGAGGTAAAGGTTAATCACAATTTATACTATGAAGTTTGTTTCGGCTACCATCATGTTGCATTATCAACCATGTGAAAGGCTTTAATGTCAAGGAAAAGTCTGAAAGTTTCAGGATTATTGTACACTCCTGTCAACGTATTTACACTGAATTGCTATGCCTAACACTTTCATAGAATGATATGTCTCTGTTAACAGCTCACAGAACAGCTATAATTACAACTTTTCAATAGTTACGTATGTGTTACGAAATGTTTGTGCTATTTAAAAAAGCCATATTTTCTATACGCAGAATGCATTGTCTTGATAAAGAAATTACATAAAACTACAGCATAGCAACTACACTACCTAATGGCAAAATTATGAAATTATTTTGTAACTTCAGAAATTCTTCACAATGAATTGGCTTATATTTAGATATGAGTGAGCACCATATAAATAGAAGACTTAACTTTTTTCCCCACCTTTACATGTCGGTGGAGGATGACTCCACTGTCTATTGGCCTGGCACTGAGCCCGTGTAGGTCCTTCCATAATATATCCAGTGTTACAGGAGAAGGTGACAACATCATTCAGATTAAAACCATTGCCAAGTGTTCTGCCATAAATTGGACTGCCAGGATGGCCACAGCTGATAGCTAGGAACAAGACAGAAAAAAAAAACATCTTTGAAATCGAACAGAGTTTTGTCTATTTCACATTATGCAACCTTGAATTTTTATAGAAAAGGTTCTATAGCAATTGTTCAACCAAAAACAAAATTACATGTGTTATCTGTATGTATTAGCAAATGCAAAAAAAAACCTCTAACACAAGCAGAAAAAAATGATCTACTATCACAAAATACACACTTACTGTACAAGTGTCTTAATACAGCCATATTTCAGAAAGAGATGGTAGCCAGGCTACTTCTCCGCTACTGTATTTATAAAGAACAGCTGCGCAGTTTAAATAAAGCTTATGTGGCTAACACAGGATTGATCTACAGTTTAAATAGCTTGCATGGGATAATTGCAAATTATTAACCAGCAATTCTCTGTAAATAATGACAGCTGAAAATGGTTAAACCATATGGCTAGAAATGTATATATTTAAAATAAAAAATCAGCAAGAGATGTGGAAATGGTATAAGGATTTTAAAAGTATGGTTCACTGCTATTTACATATTATCTATTCACATGGTTCTCTGTGTTCTTATCCAATATTCACAAATTTAGCAAATTAAATTCCATAACACTAAAACAGGAGTTCAAATACTCAACTTTGTAACCTGAAAACTAAAGAAATTCGTAAGTCACAGGCGGTTCCCCTGGTTTTTTACAAGTTGCAGAGTTTTGAAAATAATACTTCCCGGGCAAGTTATCATAGAAGAGAGCTGCCACTGCAACATATTTGAATGAAATTAATCTGGATTCTACAGTAGACCCCCCTTCTTGTCAGCATGGTACAGGTTGAATTCTGAGAAAGAAATATTTCATTTCCCCCTGCTTTTACCTTTAATGCATCTTTTAGTGATTTTTTTCTACTTAATGTATGAGAAACACTGAGGAGGCCTGTGCAGTTGCATTTTGTATTTAATGACAGAACAGTTTATCAGATTTTTCTCTAACAAAACTTCAGCTACAAATGAAAAATTGTAGCAGCTACATTTCATAATTACAGTAGTAATTTCTTTGAAATTGTACCAAATCCTGTTTAATTTCACAAGCTTTCTTATTCAAAGAATTCAAAGCAGTATTATTGCATGTTGATTGTGTGATCCCACCTACTGTACATGATTGCAGTGCTGAAGCTATTTTCCTTTTTAAGATACTTATTTCACATTGCCCACTTTCTGCCTTTTAATTCAAGAGCCTTTGAAAAGTGTTTTTCCTGCTATCATTTTTCAGATTTCAAATAATTAAATATTCTTAACAGCAGCTCGGTTTTAGCATAAATTGTGATTACTGGATAAGTATATGGTTGACTATCAGTGAAATGTTATCAGAAACAAGATAAGCATTTTAAAAAGACTGAGATTTTTTTTCCAAAATGATTTCAGTTGCAACCTTGCTGTATTTTTTCAGTCTTAATGTTATCTTTACAACCTTTTCTGTTATGGAATGTATATTCAATACCACAATATAAAAAGCACAGCACAGGAATAATGTTTTTGCTGTTGTGTTGTTATTTACAATAAATTGTAAATTGTATCTGCTGCACAGTGTGTTTGAGGTGTGGATACAATCTTGGAAACATAACCTAATATGGAAACAATACATTTCTGGGGTACCACTTTCCATGTAACACAAAAACAGCAGTTGATTGGACTTGCAAAAAGAGATAGCAGGCTTTAAATTATTCAATTAAACTCACAGAAAAAAACACAGCACACAGTATATTCTAAAACATTCAGATTAACAAATCATTCCACCAATCATTTTAGTAATAATAATGCAATGACCATGTGCTCAAAATGAAATTTCTATTTCTAAAAGATTATACCTTCTCTTTGTTTTCAACCTTTCAAAGTACATTTCTCCACCATAAAACAGAAGCTTTGCAAAACAAAATACAGTTTTATGGGTGATCTAAACTAGTTAAACATTTTTCCAACTATTATGTTAGTGTATTTAATTCCTGAAAAGATCAGTTACTACCTGCATGTAATGTTCATTTTCAGAACATTAATTTCAGCAACCAGCAGACCATATTTTATGTTTTTACATATGAAAGTACATGAACAAAAACCCAGGAAAACTTTTACAATTTTTAACAATAATCACCCTTGTTTTTATATAGAGGTTTTCATCCCAAAGGATCCCAAAGTGCTAGAAACATATTGAAAGATCCATTTAATCCACCACTTAAATTCAGCACCCACTAGACAGAAAGTGGATCAAGTGATTGTTCAAAACCAGAGTGAAAAACACAGTCATATGCACCATGCTAAATACTTTTTTATGACCAAGTGGTCGAGACCTTGGTATACTGTATGGCCTCACACAAAGGACTGCATGTACTTTCCACCAATGTAATGCTGGTTACAACACTGAGACATTGTTTACAAAACTCTGGTACACAGTGAATCAAACCACATACTGATCTACAAGTACCATTGGCAGCATCAACTTTTTTTTTCACGGGAGAACTCTCATCATCCAGGAACTGACAAAGCACATTGTTGTTTATCATCTGAAATCCGAAGAGATCAGACCAAAAGGTGATAAAAGTGCTAATATGTCTTCGAGTGGAGCTTATTTGATTAGCATTGGTTATGAATATATAACATCTATACAGTATATAAACACTGTACCATTTTTAATTTCCACAAATGTTTCAAATAATCCTCTTATCTCCAGAGGAACAAGTAAAGGTTTATTCCATGCTGAAAAGAAAAAGAGACATAACGATTCGGCAGTGGTACCTTCTTCAGGTGTCAACTTTTCTTTTCCTTTCAGCATGCAATAAACCTTTTTTTCTTGTGTCGCTTTTCTTTTCTGCCCTTTACTTGTACCTACTTATACTTCTTCAATCCTTTAATCTCTCTTTGCTGTAAGGTGCAGGCATGACCAAACATTTTGACCAAGGATGTAAAAAATGAGCAGTAGGATAACCAATAATAGCATGGCATAATTATACATTGCACTGTATTAATGGGTTAACAGATCTAAATGTACTGTTAAGTGATACTGTAAATGGTTATTCTGTTCACTTGATTAATAACAGTTTGAGTTTAACTAATGAAGCACTTTCCACCCAGTTAGGGAACTTGTCTTTTTCTTTATAAATGTATAAAAAAAGAAACATTCTTACAGAAGACAGGTGACGATAAAGCCCTGGGAGATTTTCATGATACGTTGTATTTGTATTACGTGGGTTGTTTATTAAGCAGGTCTTAACTGAACATGGAAAAACATTTGAGGAGTTGAGTCCTTTCCATAGCTATTAAAATGGTCACTTACGCACACAGGCTGGGAGTTGACCTGACCAGTTGTGGTCTTGTTGACAAATGCGCACAGAAGAGCCAATCAAGCGAAATCCAGGAATGCACTGATATACCACGGTATCTCTATAACCAAAGTTCTCACCAATCACTTGACCATTAACAATTGGTTCAGGGACACCACAATGTCCAGCTAGACAGGAAAAAATGAACAACAATTAAAATCACAAATGTTTTTCTGGTGTTTACTTTTTTTTTAAAGATTGAATACAAAAACAGAATATTTATCAGCTATATTTACCACTGATGAGTAATGAATTTTAATTACAAAATGGTACTGCAACACTTTTCAATTAATAATTTTTAAGGCTAGTTTTACTATCGAATGTTGAAAAGTAACACATTAGTCAATTAAACCAAGGAACTGAAATGACAAATCTAGTAGGAAGAAACAGTAATAAGGCTAAAACATTTTAACTTTCTTTTTCCTTTTTCCCTTTCCTACAGCTTACATAACTCATTTATTTTTTAAATGTTGTACCTTGATGTGTTCCTATTTTGTACAATGACTTGTGGGTTTATAATATAAAATGGAATAATCAGTCAATATTCACTATGGACTGTGTATTATGAAAAATAACAATTTCACAAATTATGAAAAATTCCATATTCCACTACCACTCAAAAGTTTGTAATGAGCATACTTTGGAGAATACTCCATCATAACTCCTAAAGGCAGATTTTGTCAAAACTGTTAATTACTTAATACAAATGTTCATATTTGATGCTGTTTCTTTACAGATTCTTACTACAGGTACATGATTGTAACAAATTAAAGATGTTAAACTTGTACATAAGATTCTCATACCAAGGCATCTGGTCTCAGACCCACTCCACAGTCCGGATGACAAACACTCCCTTACTGTTGATCCAACCAACATGTAGCCAGCATCACAGGTGAAAATAGCTGTAGCTCCAAACGTTGTCTGTGTTCCAATTTTATTCCCATTAGGAGGAGTAGGTAGTTCCCCACAAGAAATAACTGCAATAGAAAGCAATTTAAAGCTTGCAAATGTGTCAGCTTTAAAGAATAGTCTACATCTATCAAATACCAGAGAAAAGATTATGGTAAAACAAACTATGATCACTTTTCAGTTTTATATTATTTTCAGAATAGCAAGATGTTTAAAAGTGAAAATGGTTTAATTTGCTTCTTTACGTACCTATGTTATTAAAGTTTTACACTTAATTAATCAACCATTGTTTGCAAACAATAACTATATACAATTATTCTGAGTTGCATAATACTGAAATTTAATAAAATGGAACTTTGCCTATATCCACATCTATTCAAGCTGAATGTAGAAGACACTGTTTTTTTTAACTGCACTATATGCATTTCTATACTCTAAATCACCTACTGTTTCTGTTCAATATAAATTACTTCTTCTACCTCCAACAAACTGTTTCAAGCACACATTTTCCTTCCATACAATAACCATATCCGCTTCATTCTATAGATGGTCTTGGCCAGCCAGAGCATAACCTGTCAGGCAAGGGGCACAAACTGGGATTACATCCTGCAAGATAAGCCAGTCCATTGCAGGGCACAGACACGCACACACAGAGACAATTTTTAGACACCAATTAACCTAGCCTGGTTCTTGTTGGAAGGTGAAAGAAAACCAGACCTCATGGGGGAAAACAACATCAGCACAGGGAAAACAGGCAAACTGACGGCCCCCCAGCCTGGAATTGTATTCATGACTCAAGAGCTGTGAGGCAGCAGAAGTGCAGCAGCAGCCACACCACCATGCCACCCCCATATGTATATTATTGATGGAAACTGAATACAATTTCTAGTGTTAAAGCTGCTCCTCAAAAAAAAAATTATTATAAAAAGTATTTTTCACTGTTAGAATAGAAAAATTGCCTCCACTTACTCTGACAGTGGGGTCGCTCATTTCTCCAGCTCCATATCCCATTAGCCAAGCACTGGATAGACACGGGTCCCAGTCGGTAGTAACCAGGATCACAGCTAAAAATAATCTTTGTTCTGTATTCATAATGAGAACCATTCACTATCCTCCACCTCCCATGCTCCAGTGAAAAAGACCCAATACTGGGACAAACGACAACTTGAAGAAAAGAAAGTATTTCCATTAATTTTATGCATATCATTGCATTGCGACATTGATCTTTAAAGAAAAAGAAATAATACTGCAAGTCCAATTTCCACAGTAAAAAAACTGAATTAATCTTAATATTGTATTGTTATGAATACATTTTATCTAATGTTATTTAGAAATACAAAAAAAATAAAAGCTTACAAATAAAAATATAATGTCTACTGTATTTCACAAATTCAAATATATATACACCCAAGTTATGCAAATTGAGACATATATAAAGTATAAAGTGGCTCCACTTATTTGAGTGCTGAATTATCACATGAATCAAAAAGCAAAATGTTGGTAGTGTATTTTTTTGTCATTGTTTAACCTACCTAGGCAATTAACAGGGCTGTTTTCTTTAAAGGACTGTCAGGGAAGGTTATACCAAAATGCAAATGTTTTTAAAATGATCTTTGCATACCTTTTATTTATTCGTTTACTTTTTGAACAGAAAGCATTTCTGGCATACAAATTTCTCAGAAGGCCTTCTGCATACCTGAGCATCGTGGAATTTTATTATGATTGCTCCATGTGCCATCTGGTTGGCAAACAGCACTTGTAAGCTCCTTGGACGAAAGCCTGTAGCCATCATTGCAAAAGTAGGTTACACGAGTACCAACGGAATAGTCAGTAGTCAGTACACCTCCATTAACTGGCGCTTTAGGTACACCACAGGAAACAGCTAAGAACAAGACAGAAGAAATCAAAGCTTAATTTGATCTGCTGTGTTAACCCATAATTTCACAACTACAATATGTACATTATATAACTTCACTCACCCGTTTCAACAATATGAAAAGCATACAATACATAGAAAAATATAAGAAAGGCAGCAAGTGAACCATTATGTTTGTTTGGTCAGTCTAGCTCATTCGGTTGCTGGCAGTTGATTGATCCAAGGAACTTATCTAGCCTTTTCTCAAAATTGTAGTAGGAAAATGAAGAGAACATGTTAGAAATCTATCATCTAGATACAGTGCATAACCAAACCAATGTACAATATTGATGTATACGGTACTTGACATAAATTAGCAGGTAAAAAACATAATTTTGCAATTATTTGAGTATGTTTCTGTGGCAATCTTTAAAATATCCATATTTTGTCTGTGGAAACAATATTTACCAAAGTAAGACATTCAAATCGATGCAAAGAAAAACTTTCAAAGCCATGATCTTAACCTTGTCTGAAACAGATTTGTTCATATGAAACCTGCAAGACTTAATATAATTGGGAAGTTAGTACTTTTTGTAAAAAAAAATATAAAAAACCTCTAAACATACTTAAATATTTCAATTTATTCAAAGAGTATTCAAAGACACTGATTTAGAAGGAAACAGTTTTTAATTAGTTAGGAATTAACTGCTGAGATACCTTTTGTGCTGGTGCTCTGTCATATACAATACTGCATGTATAATGAACTGCACTTAAAAACATAATGCATTAGTTTAACATCAAAATATAGTAAACAAAAGCCTACATATAATGTTAGGGTGCATATGACACATTAATGCTCAAACCTATTATTAAATCAAAGCAGTATAAGTAATAAAGGGGTCTATTTTATTAATGTTCTTGTTGCTTGCAATTCTATTTTGTATACCTTCTTTTCCTTCTCTTTAGAATCCCAAATTCTACTCAAACAGAAGTGCAGCATTGGTACAGCATATGTACATGGTTGCAGAATCGAAATGATGCACACTACAGTACAATGCTTCCCAGAGTTGATGATCTGTTGGACCTCATGCCAGGTAAATAAGATCGCCAGTCCTTCACACACATGTTGTGGCATGCCAGGGAAGTCACAAATAAGTGCCTAAAAGGGCTCACTCGCACTAATCCAGTTATAGAACGTGACAGCGAAAAATTCTCCAGTGTCAGAAGACCCAGTTTTGTGGTACCATCACCATCTAGGACATGATGTTGGGTATGCTCTGAGCCACTAAGTGACTGAGATTGAATCTCATCTGGGGCAGACAGAGACTGACATGAACGTTCCACGTTTGGTTAATTGATTGTTGCCAAATGAAGAAAATTAAATTATTCTTACTGATAGTAAGTAGATATATACATTGGGGTCATATCAGAACATAAATATTTTAAGATTATATAGTATCAGTACATATACTGTGCTAGTTATAAAGGCAGTGTCACATTGAAAATGTGATTTAGAAAACAAAAAGTTTTGCATCCCTTTATTTGATGATTACAGATGCTGAAAACCTGTAGGTTTGTTTTAGTATTATTGTAGAAAACATTGTACCCTGGGACACTGAGGGAAACTCATAAAGCCATTTAAGTGTCACTTAATATTACCGCAATTTTTCCATTTTTTCTGAGGGGAATAAAAAATCTGTTCACATCATTTAACTTTGGATAAACAACTCTGGCACTTAGTTCAAAGAATGTTTGCATTTTTTAAAACCTGATTTTCTAGTTCTTTATGTAACATTAAAATCTGCTTTTTTCTTTGAAACAAAAACAGAGCAGTCCAGACATTGAAGCTTATTTGCTTCCACAACATATCAGATGTAAAACTTACTAAACAAATTTCACATTTTCTATTGTTTATCTTTACCATGTATGAGCCCTCAGGTGCAAGCACAGCCATCAGAATTTTTTCTTAGATACCCATATACAATAAGTTTGCACATGCAGAAAGGCTTATAGTATTTGTCAGTTTTTCACTGTTATACCATGCGGATTCCATGCACTTACTTTGTCATAGTTTTTGTAAGCAACATGCTTTACCATACACCTTTATGCTTGTTGGCATTTCTCCCATTTTAATGTGCTTTAATATACAAGTTTGCTGGTACACCAAGATGAACGTTTCTAGAAAGGATTCCTGAATGGAACTGTTTTACCTTGACATGCTGGAACTGGAGCATCCCATGTATAAAATCCATAGGGTGTCTTCCTACAAACAGCTGTATTTTTTCCAATAAGTCTGTAGCCTCGATCACAAGCCCAACGGACCAAACTGTTCAGATGACCTCCTGTCTGACTTATGATCGATCCATGAGCAGGTGAATCTGGAGTGCTACAATACAGTGCTGAACAAATAACAGGAATCATTAGCAATTTAAATCCTAAATCACTGTTTATTTTACTAGAGAACACATTCCGCTATCTACAATGGAGTATAACTGCTGGACGTACAACAAAGTAGTCATACCCATGTATGCAATAATTCCAAATTGCTTCAGGAGCAACATATGGTTTCTCCACATGTTGCAAATATTTGATAGAATCTCTCTTCAAGTAATTTCCATATAATTGTACATTCACTGTCAACACACATATTTAAAGACTTCATTTTTTAAGCTGCTGTATTCAGTTTTTAATTAAATAATAGAAAGCTGGAGTGAATGAGAATGGATTTCTGGAATGTTATATTTTGCTATCATTTTCTTCCAGCTTGCTTCTCACGCACTCAGGAAATCTGAAAAGTGAAATGTTAGTTCTTGGTTATTCCTGTTAAAAGCATCGTATGTTTACTTATATAAAATCCCATTATGTGTCATTTTGTAACATTATTTATGGCATTTTGTGTATTTATGTTCATATGTAATGAGCTATTAAAAAATATGAAGAAGGTCATATAAAAAACTACAAATCCATAGACACTTTAGTTCATATATAAATATAGGCTTTAATTGTAATTGATCAAATGCTCTCAAAAATGTTACCAGCTGATTTTTAGTTTAAAAAAATATTTTAAACTTAAAATTTATTAGTAAGTTATTATCATGATAGCCCACATATTTTTATAGTATTAAATATTAGAGTAACATTTTATGAAAACCTCATACAATGTAATTTTGAGGTATTATGATGAATTAATTGGTGCCCAACCTGACTATGATGTAAGTGTTAAAGGTATATCTAATCTTTCTAAAAAAACTTTTATATAATAATATCATTTTTCATATTTTTTTTTCAGATTATGGCACTTTCAATATAGCTCCCTTTTGTTTTCTGAAAACTAAATTAATTGGAAAGCAAGTGGCTATGAAGTATTTCAACATGAAAGGGGAACACCCAAAGGTATGTGTTAATGTGGTTCAAACACCTTCAAATTTTGACTATTTGAATTTCATTTCATTTTATTTTCAGAGGACAAGTGGAAGTCTTACAAAGACCTGGTCACTATCTGAATCAGAAAAGAGAAAGAGATTAAAAAAAGGTTCACTTTTTCATCAGTTAAATTGTTGTAATACACTACACAATTACATCAAGGCCTGCCTTTTGCTTCACAGTCAGGCTGGACAATTATGGTAAGTGATCTGTACTTGTATTAGGGCATTGTGTTTGATGATGTGTGTCTGAATCCACTTGTGTTTTCTAGTGGACAATACATACAAAACATACAGTATATAACATTAATCCATCTATTCATTACCAGAAAGCCTCTTATCCTGGTAAGAGTCCTGGAAGCAGATGGCACAAAGCAAAAAAGAGATCTCATGACTGCTTTCTCTCTGGATGTGATACCAGACCCTTTAGAGGCCATGGAAAAATAGAATTCAGACTAGCCAATTAAACCTACATGCTAAATGCTCACCCATCATGCTGCCTCAGATATATTGAACACTGTGCCAAATTTAATAAGAACTCAATATAACACACATAATGGGATTTTTAAAATGGAGGTTATCATGTAAAGATATATAATATTATCACTGATCTGATTTTTTAAAGTAAATATTTCTGTGAAAACAGTAGAAGTAATAATAAACTAATAACCTTCATAAAGGTTTATAGTTAGCAAAGGAGCTTATGTTTATGGAATGGTGAACTATTAAAGTGAGACGTTGCTTAATTTTTAGTGGGAGAATTTAAAAACCGGCACCAGTATTTTTATTAAAAGTAATAGTCATATAATGTTGAAAAACAGAAATGCATCATTAATTTTAAGAGCTGGCATGCGATATTAATAAATTCATATATTAAAACCCTTACTAATATAACATACTGTAGTTCATTGCAAAAGTCAAACATTTTTAAACCTTACTCTTCTTCAAAACCCACTTTGCATGCACAAGTTCATGCTGAAAAAGAACGAAGACATGAAGAGGATGCACAAAATAAAACATAAATAGAGATGAACTAACTAATGTACTGGCTGCATCTGCTTTTTAATGTTGGATTGTATCCAATTACTCTATACCCATTTTATTATGCATGATGTACTGTATGTGCTTCTCCGGACCATTAATTAGTTCATTAATAAGGTATTATTCACTGAATTGTGTGCATCGGGATGGCATGGTGGAGCAGAGATTAGCATTACTGCTTTGTAGCACTGGGGCCCTGGGTTCAGTTCTTGGGGGCTACCTGTGAGGAGTTAGTATGTTCAAGTAGGTCTCCTCCAAGGGTTCCATTTTCTCCCACAGTCCAAAGACATACTGGTAGGTTAATTGGTTTCAGGGAAAATTAGCCCTAGTGTATGTGTGTGTTTCTGTCTATGTGTGCCCTGCGATGGACTAGCAACCTATCCACGGTGTGTTCTGCTTTGCACCCAGGATAGGCTCCCGAGCCTGTGGCCCTGTACTGGATAAAGCATTGAGAATGGGTGGATATATGCATCACTGCTAACACCCACCCACCAATTAACTAAACCCTTAATTCTGGAACTTTTATTTACTGTATGTTCAAGGTAGTTCTGGAGATGATGCATATATGTTATTATTATATGTGTAAAGACAATAGAAAATAAACCCTAGAAACAGAGACACATAAGTAAAATGCATGTCAAAAATGATGTCATGGTTAATTCAGAAGATATGTCCAGCTGTTTAAAATGGCATTGACTGCATAAAAATCGAAATTATTTCAGTTTTGCTTAAAATAAGTTTGCTTTATTGCTGCAAGCTGCAATTATAATTTACTGCAATCTTGGGTGATATATTTTGTTAAACACTTACAACATGCTAAAAAACTGCAAGAAACAGATTTTGTCATTTTTGTTACACTGACGTTTTTTTTGGTACCTTGGCAATGAGTCTGACATTTATACAAAATATTTTACAAATTATGTAAACACTTAACACCAATAGTCTTTTTTAACAGTGGCATTTCATTGTGCTGTTTTTAACAAAATAACATTTTTTAACAATTACAGTTTGTATTGTGTGGTGAGTAGTGTTTTGTAGATTTAAATAACTAAAAATAAAACTTCAGAAATGTTTCTTCAAAAATGTAACTCCCATAATAAAACTAAACTTAGGCAACTACACTACACTACGTCACAGAATGATTATGATCACATGGTATTTCCATGTATTCTGTAAAAAACTGAAGAGGCAGTGGAAATCAATATAATGGAACAGAAATGACTTTTTGTACTACCTCAGGGTAAATTCAAAACCCATTTAAGTCTAAATTACTACAGAGCATCTGTTGAAACATATATACAGAGCAGTAACTTTGCACGTTTTATATTGAACAGATAGTGAGGAACTAGCCACAAATTGCAATTTTGTATGTTTCTGGAAAAAATCTATACATTACCCATTTATTTTGTGAAAAAGGAGAAGTTGTAATGGTGGAGGGAAAAATAAAAGTATGCTGTTTTCTTAAAAAATGTTTGTTACCCACGTTTGAATCTATATTTCAAATCAAGTTACAACTAAATTTTATATCATGATTGAAATATAGAAGCTTGTGATTTGGGGGGCAAATTAAGCTAACCTGGTTTCAAATGAATTTGATTTTGTTATGTTATTTCTTTTTATTTCTGCTTCTGCACCTTGTTAAAACTAATAAAAATGGAGGCAGCTGTTAGAACATATGCTTGGACAGACAGGTGAATGATTTGAGCTTAACAAGTTGGCTGCATTTAGAATCTAAGCCAGGGATGTCATAAAAGGTCTGTAAAATCATATCCTAGACATCAGCATGTAGAGATGTAAAAATCCTTATGGAGAAAATGGTGTCAGCCCCAGAGGTACCTATGAACCTCCACACAGCTGTTTTTCACTTCACTTCTGATCTCTCAGGATTTTAGTCTTATGTACTTTTGTTCCCTCAAATCCCCCCCAAAATAATTTAACTAAAATTTAACTGTAGAATTAAAATAAGGTTCCTAAAAAACAGATTTCTTACTAGCCTATACCCATGGAAGAATATGTTCCAAAGCAATTTTAGTACTTTTTTGCTTTTGGTAAAGGTGGTATCTTGGAACTTTAGAACTAATTCCTGCTGATAACTGCAAATATTTTACTTATTTAACTCTACTGAAGTGATCACTACTTCAGTGTTTATTTTATGTTTAATTTATACAATTAAAAGGGGCAGAATGAGGGATCAAATTCTTTCTTGTCTAATGCATTGTTTTAGGTTTGTTATTATACTTCAATTTTCCATTCCAATTATATAACAGTAGTTGGATGAATATAGCACAAAATCAAGAAATAAAGTTAGGAGTACAAACTAAGATGGGAAGGCAAACATAATCTAATCTCTGGATCTAAGATCTACTGCCAGGATCTCAGTTTCAGAAAATACACATGCACAACATTGTTGGTTTAGTCCTTCAAATCTCTCTTATAAAGCCAGTAAAAATATTTTTCTCAGCATAAAAGTGCCTTCTTGTAAATTTGGAAAGTAAACATTTTAATAAGATTTAACAAAACATTTTCCCCTAACTACTTTAAAAGCTGTGAGATATGTTTCTTGATTTTCCTTTCTTACCACAAGGGTTTTTTGAAAGGTGTTCTATGTGGTGGGACCTTTAGTTTAAGTATTTACATGTTGCCTGTTGGTCAAATATTTCACTATCCTATACTTCCACTTAATTGCTATGCTGATGACATTCAGATCTATTCAGAGACATTCAGAGGCCAAATCACATGCTACTCATGCAGTTTCTACATATTACTGTAGTTGTCTGTCTAATATCAAAATACTGATGCAACAGAACTTTCCTAAGATAAAATATGACAAGACTGAAGCTATGCTCATAGGCTCCCAAGATTAGCTGGTTGGTGAATGTTTCAATGTACGTAGTGTTACTTTGGACCATGTATTTTCATGTGAAGCCCATATTAGGAATGTGCATCTTTCTTCCACCTGCATAATTTGCTAAATTAAGACCTTGTGAAGAGAAGATGCTGACGTTAGTGGTGTTTATAGTTACATTCTACAGCAGACTTAAAATACTTGTAAAGTAAGAGTAAGAAGGAGGCTTCATGTAAGTTAAAGGACAATATTCTCAATAAAAGCTGTTGCATTTTTTACAGAGGAGCTTGCTTGTTCAAGGATTCTGTGATGATAAAGATAGACGGTTAAGTAAGAAAAAAATAAAAATAAAATCGTCTATAAAACCTTTTTCTTGCATGTCTGCATGTCATTTTTTATGTGTAAACCAATTATGGCACTTATTATTTAAAATTCAAATAACTCACAAATATAATAGTGTTATGCTGCAGACCCTGAGGCTTCAGGTTTTATGCATTCTGAACAGCATTTCACCCTTTGAAAGCATAAAAAGAAGAGCAAAGCATCTAATTTAATCCTTGAATTTGTCTACCATTTAAGTCTTCCAACCAAGAAGCAAGCAATCATTATTTTCAAAAGAAATGTTTACTTTAAAAGAAAAGGATTAAATAAACAGATCACAAGTTGTGAGAGATATTTTTTTCTTAAGGAATTCAAATATGGTACCTTTATTCCCGAAGATTACAAAGCAGAAAGAGTGGGCCTATTAATATGGGCTGTATCTTTTTTTGTTTGAGTAGCATCCAAGCTGTTCTGAACTCCAAAGTCCAGAAAAAAAACACAAGTTATAAAAAAGGATTCTCTGGCCCATGCTGCCTTATTCCATCTGTTATAGTTTATAAAGGGACTCTTCCTCCCTCTCTGAAGACCATCTGACCTGTGTTGAGGATGCAGTACTTTAAAACCAAGCCCATCACCCTCTATCAACAAGCTCTTACTGCTGCCAGGATGAAATATTACTCTGCAATCACAACAAACTATCAGAACAACCCAAGGGTTCCTCATAGACCTCTTGAGCAGATCGTACACACTCTGAGTGGTATAAAGACCTACACACTTCTTGCCCTGGCATATCTTTTTATCTCAGGGATAAAATCAAGAACACAAGTGCAATATTTCCTGTATTAACACTTCTGCTTAGGACATGCCTGTAGCTACACCATCAGTTCTTCCCTAAATGAACTAAAATAAGTTAAGACTTTCAACTTACCCACTAGCATCTTCTCTCCAGACTATTCACGTCTGTCACTACCTCTGTGAATCCCCAGGTTCTAGTTTTTTTTCTCCATAACTGCGCCGATACTGACTTGAAGTGTGGCAATGACCTGACAAGTCCCCTAGCCTCCACGTGAAGTATTTGGTCTCTTAGATTCAACAATAGTTTATTTTTATCTCAGTTATCCTACCATCCTCCTGGACTGCAATGTTGTATTTATTGGTCTGTTTGGTACAGTATTCTCCCAAATGATGGGTTCAGCACTTGGAACACCTGTTCATCATATTTAGGCTGACCTAAACTATTGGCAATGTGATTAAAAATCACATTGATTTTTCCTATAAGGAAAATCAAAACCACTGCTGATTATCAACCAGTTGCCTCCTTAATTTGTTATGACTATAGATGTTTTTCCAGGATGTCCAGGAGCCCTTTTTAACTAAATAACAGGCAGACATAACTCTTAGAGGAGGACGAATTGTGAGTAACTGACAATTTCAGAGACTGGACTCTTTTGAATTGTAGCTTTCACGCTGTCTCCTGCTATCATCTACAGAACTACAATAAGAAAGGACATACTTTTAATATGCACATTTCATATATTACAAGGATACCTTCTTCTTTCTCTTCCTCTGCCTGGGCTATTTTTAAAATTTAAAGCTATTCATTTTAAACTTTTGAATTTTTAATTACATCTCATTCTCAAATACAGGCTCCAGCTGGGAAAAAAGTACTGCAGCCAGAACTTCACAAAAGCACAATGAGAGTAGCATGTTACTCTCATTTACATTTGGTAGTTATCATTATTTAACAAACGAAAATCATCGGAATTTAGGATCATTAAACCTGACCTTACTATCTTCATGTCTGAAAGTTTGCAATGGTAAATATTCAGAACTATTTTAAAAATTTACCATAAAAGTACATGTAGACATTTCTTAAACGTTCCAAGGAAATTCAACAAAATGGCTAGGCAGCTTCTAAAACAACCTACCACCTTCATGGGTGCTAAAAAAGTTAGAAATTTCTAATTATACAGTTCACTAAGTTGAACTTGGAACCTTAATTGCAATTCCCTATTTCTTTTCATCTTTTATTTCTGCAATTTGAAAATCAGCAAAACATATTGGAGGTAAAGAAAAATATGATTTTTAATGGTGTGTTTCATTTTACAAAAATAGCAGCTAAAATGGTCAACAACTAAAAAAGGTACATGCAAATATCTTAAAGTTTCATGCTTAGCTATTAGTGCCATTCGCAGAGCAATATCAGCTAGTTCATTCATCATTGCATGCCAGTTGGTATTGAAAAAATAAAATGCAATTAAAATATATTTATTAAATGGATACATACTTTGATACTCACCAACATATCTGATACGGAACCCCTTCTTATTTGTCCCATGGTCTGCAGACCAGCGAAGAAACAGTTGGTGCCCAGTTGTTGTAATATTAAAAGGAGTAGGATAATCCCCACTGAGTGTAGCCAGTGTTGGGCTGTGAATGTTTGGCCCTTAATAGAGTGAAAAAAATTAATGAATTCCTTTATTGACTGAAATGGAGCGAGTAAGAAGGTGCACTGGAAGTTGCTATGAATTTTACATTACATACATAAGCTCTCCTTTAAGTTTGGGCAGAATTATCACTTCAAAAAACAAATGGCCAGAGTATGTCTGTCAGATTTAAGCCCACACCCCAAGGAAAGATGCATAAACATACTTTTCTATCTCAAAGTTCACAAGACTTTTTTTGAGGTAAACATTTTAATGTATGACATATCTTGTCACATCTGCTTTTTGGAGAGTATTATAACTTGTAACCATTTGAGAAAAAAAATTTACATTTCTGAAAGCTGGCTACACAGTGTATTAGTATCTTTAGTCCTAAAACTTATTACTTCAGGAAAGGTTCAGTGTGTGAAAAAAAATTAAGAGCAGTACCATCAAAAACTTCAAGAATGTCAAATTCTCTCTCTGTCTGGAAGAACTCAAAGTACAGGGAGATGTTGTATCCTTTCTCCACGGAGATACTCCAAGCACACATCTGAAGGTTAGGGTAGCTGTCAGGGTAACCAGGACTTAGTATGACTCCCGTGGAATCAAACCGCATATCATTGGCAGGGCACTGCACTGTAAGGATAACACACATAAACCACATATTATTACTATTGTTATCTAAATTCTTCTGTAGAACTAATTTCATCTGCTCTAATGGTGCAATAACATCATACCTAGTCATTCAAAACTGTTTGAAAGCTCAATATCATTTTACATATTCAATTTTACATTAGTATGCCATGGTGATTTCATTGAAGTGCAATACAGAATGCACTTTGTTATCTGGATGTCACATTAATTCCAAATAACAATATATCAATATATCATTTTTAATTTTTCATTTCTTAGAAAGTTCAGTCTTTCTTTAGTTTTTGTCTTATATTTTTGTGTATCACAGTGGGAAGCATTGCTGACTCACGGTGCCAAGGCACTGAGTTTAATTCCTTGGGGGCATTGAGTTTGTACATGTTGTTTGTTTCACTGGGTGATGGTTTCCTCCAACTGTACAAAGACATGCTGGTAGGTTAATTGGCTTTTGGGAAAACTGGCCCTGGAGAAAGTGTGTGCAAGTTTCTGTTTGTGTGTGCCCTGTCATGGACTGGCGTCCCAACCAGGATGCATCCTGCCTTGTGTCCATTGCTTGCTGGAATAAACTCCAGTTCCCCCACAACCCTGTATAGGATAAAGTGGTTAGAAAATGGATGGATGCATTGAATTTTGTGGATGATACAAAGAGGGCAAAGTAAATGAAACGAGAAAGTACAATGCAATATATTGCAAAACATGTCACAAGCTCAAATAGAAAATGTATACAAAATAAATCAAAATAAATTCTGTACAAATTAATTCAAATACCAACCTTGGCAAGTTGGAGGTGGCCCATCCATCTGTAAGCGCTCCCCAAGTCGGCATGTTAGAATTTCATTCCCAACTAGAGTAAATCCTGGTAGACATCGGTACTTGATGATATCTCCTGTTGGGCAATTAGAGTGAAAATGTTTTGTGAAAGTACATCACTAGATATCTGGCTTTAATTATGCTATTAGCTAATTACAAGGAAACAAAAAACTACATATACTAGTAACGGATATGTATCAAAGGGTCAGATCTTGGTTTAATGCTGAGGAAAATTACAAGTGTAATCAAAAGCAAAATCATTATAATATTAGGGAAGCAAATACCACTGAAAATTATCATTAAGATTTAATCCAAAGAATACAAAAATTAATCTGTCACTTCTGGGGCTAATGTTTTTATTTTTTATTCATTTGCCATTTCTCCTTACTTCACCCATTTTACTTTAATAATGCTAGATTAAGAAAGAAATGATGTGTAGAGCTTAGCTTTCTACTGTATAAACTGTTATGTTTGTTTTAGAAAGCATTAGTGAAAAGGCACAATCGTATTGTTTTGTCTTACTTCATCATCTACCCACTGCCTTTAGGTGAGATACATAAAACTGTAAATACAGATGTAGCCATCTAGAATGCGCATCATAATCTATGTTAGCGGAAAGCACACTGAAATATACTGTGAAATACGGTACTGTTCAGCATTCTGAATTCAGCCCTCCACTCCACAGAAGATCCATAGGTGGCACTACAGTTGCATTAGATGTTGCTGAAATGGCAGCTTCATTTAATCTGTGTTTTTCTTAGACTAATAATCATATGTCTTGAAAATATAACTTATTTTATATGTTATAAAAGCATATAAAATACATTTTAAAATGAAATGTGACTATTTTTTTTTCTGAAAAAAATAGCCATGAATACAGCCTGGGTCAAAACTTAGTTTTGTATTGCGCCTGATTTTGCATAAAACAATGAATTTCATGGAGCGAATATAAACTAATCAAAACTGAAAGTGTTAATATTGCAATTTGTCTATATATTATTAAGGTACAGTGTGCACAACTGAAAACATTTTAATATCAATTAGTGTTCGCTTACAAAATAGTGGTGTATTTTAAATAATGACATCTAGATAAAGGCAGTCTGCAAGAACAAAGCTAACAGTATAGTAGATGTACTGTGTGTATATCTGTTGATATTAAATATAAAACTATATTTTTTAAATTTATAAAACAATATTAAACTACACACTATGAAGGAGACACTGCCTGTTCTATATGAAATAGATGCTTTAAAAATAAAAACAAAGATATTTTTTAAATGTATTGTTAAATCATTGCCGCTCACAAAAAATGTCATTTAAAATACAAAAAGTATTGTAATTACTTGTCTTTTGTCTTGGTCTTTTCTGCCCAACAAAGTAGTCTAATATACAATTAAGCTTACAAAATAGCATGACTGAAAAGCAGTGAAACGGTAGTGATAACTTCATAAAAATAAATCATTTCTGAAGTTCAGGAAAAATGTTCTTGTCACCAAATGAGATACACCATAGCCAGTCAGTGACTACTCAGCTCAGGGAAGCATTTCGCACAAATGTTCGTCACTATTTGTATTGGGCACATACCAGATAGTAAACTGAAAAGAACATATTTTTAATTAAAAATCTTCAGATATTAAAATGCATTGCCTGCAATGAACTGAGTTTAGAAAAACCAGCACAATGTCCTGATTTGGGAGACAGCACACACACACAGTCATGCCGAGGAGCTAAGAAGCCGGAAGGAGATGACACTTCAAACTCGAATTATAAGGACAGTAAATACATTGCGCGGTTGTAAACTGCTCCAAAGACAAACAGCTGGCTTTATGGCTTTACAGCATAAGGAGCTTTTGGTCTGGGCTTCTTCATGCATCAAGGACCATAAAAGGGTTGCAGCCCACCTCCAGTTCCCCCCACTGTGCGGAGACAATGCAACCATCAAGGTGCAAGAAGTCTCGTATGTCGAGGGTGATTTGATTTTTTTCACAGCCTTCGCCGTATCATTTGTGTACCTTTTTTAATTTTGAGACACGCTATTTCACATGTCAATAACTTTGCATCACCTGGCAGTTTTACAAAGTAGGGCAGTCCTGCATCTCATTTTTTGAAAAAATAAGGAAAGCCAAGTCAAGTTGCTGTCCTTGATAGCGCCAAGTTTACCATGGTATACCAACTCACACCTCTTGTATCCTAGATGGCTCCATCTGTATCACAAGACTCATAAAGAGTATCTCTCTTTAGTCTATCCACTGGTTTATTGCATTATAAATGAGTGTATATTCCCATAGGACTGCCAGATGTGACCATGCCCGAGTTGCCATTACATAAACAGATAGAGACCATTTCATAGCCATCTGTTTACTGTGCTATAAGAATCCATCTTTGTTACCATAAAGGCATACCTCATTTGTATCCCATAGCAACAGGATATGCAGGTTATGTATAACTATGTTGAGGGACTCACATTTCAGTATGTGTTCTTATTGCTTTTTAAAAACATTTTTCAAAACATCTGCTGAGAGAATACCTTTACAGCAGAGAAACTAGGTAGCTGAGACAGACAAGAAAAAAGGCTAAGGCTTTGCAAGGAACATACACTCTTTCAGTTTTCCAAACTGACAATTTCAAAAAGAGAAAGAGCAAAATTAAGAAAAAAAAACAATAATAATAAAGTGAAAGTGGATTAAAGTGTGTTTAACCAACCTGAAACAAAACAAAGTAATCAAGATAGTGTTTAAAAGCCACCTACTTTAGATAAATAAAAGGAAGAGGAAAAATACAATTTTTAAGATCAGATTAAGATCAAATGATGAGAAAATTGACAGTTATAAAGCATAAAAATACTTTTGTGAAATATTCTATCCAATATAGAGGCAATTTACATGGTATTCTATTACTGTAACTAAAAGATATGACAGAAAAATACACATTACCTATCTCAAACTCGTCATCATCAGTCAGTACTTCTGCATTTGCAACAGCAGGAGGAGGCTGACACACCCGCAGTTGATAAGCTAGATAAAGCAAATAAAAATGTAAGTTCTGGAGCTAAACACAGGGACCTAGCACTGTGACACATCAATTCTAACCAATGCACCACTGTCTTGCCCCCCCAGATTTTTTGAATATTTCAAAGTTGTATTTCTGGAACTTTTTCGCTCTGGAGTACACAAAACTTTTACCTATGTTTTCACAAGCCCCAAATATTACGCAATTTAGGTAAACAAGTCTAGGACTTCTGCTAAAGTGTCTGCAAAACTACCCCTTATCATTGAATGAGTACACTTATAGTGTATACAATACAAAAAAACAATAGGAAGAAAAATCCATTTGTTTTTGTATGACACAATGAAATAATAACACTTCTATAAAATTATAAACACTGGTTCTGCACATTATTTTATTAATAATGTTTGTATAATTAAGTGAGTAAGCAAAGTAGAAAACTAGTTATTTAGCAGTCTTCAATTCAAGGGTTTGAGGACAAGCTCTAGTCCACTTCAGATTTTACTAGTTTTTTCAATAGTAGTTTACTACTTAAACTCTCTTACACATTTTTTAGTGAATTATAAGATGTTATTGTTACCTAACAAGCAGGTAAGTGAATTAACTAAAATGAAAGCAAGAGATACATTTAACACTCTAGTTATATATAACACTCTAATGGCATAGACCTAAATGCAGATGTGCTTCCATTGAAATACATTGACCCTCTGGGATGGCTATGGACATACCTACTGTATCTCTGAGGATTTCAAGTTCTTCAATCAAATCCCTTCACAATTTACTCCATTCCTTAAAATGGTAAGTTCCTTTAAACTGTCATGTATAGATTTATTTCTGTTGTATATAGATTATATGAATATTTGATTTAAGCATTCACAACAAGCAAAGTTATGGAGAAGGTTTATTTCATATCATAATTAATCTGTAAACAGTTCAGCTATCTTCAATGAAACCTCCAAATCACTGCTGGCAAGTTTCATTTAATTAGATCCATTATCATACTGATCAATGAATTTAACAATAATATACAGAATATCTTGTGTTAGTAACTGACAAACTGTAATTATGCTATCTTTATGTGTAGAAATCAACGTATGGCATTGGAAGACATCATCAGAAATTATATCATATATCAAGATTTTAAACTCTTCCTTTCTTTGTGGAACAAAACAAAAAACTTTTAGCATCACAACAAGTCTTCCACAATGCATGCATAAAACCGAATTTCGAATGATTTTTGCAATACAAACTAGGTTGGCATAATATCAAACACGCAACAAACCAAATATGTTTTAGTAAACATCCAAGTTTACTAAATGAAAATTAAGACAAAAAATATCTGTTTGGGAAAGTAATATGTTTTAATTTGCATATAATAATAATAATAATTGCTTACACTTATATAGAGCTTTTCTGGACACTCCACTCAAAGCACTTTACAGGTAATGGGGACTCCCCTCCACCACCACCAATGTGCAGCATCCACCTGGATGATGCGACAGCAGCCATAGTGCGCCAGAACACTCACCACACATCAGCTATCAGTGGGGAGGAGAGCAGAGTAATGAAGCCAATTCACAGAAGGGGATTATTAGGAGCCCATGATTGATAAAGGCCGATGGGAAATTTGGCCAGGACGCCGGGGTTACACCCCCACTCTTTTCGAGAAACGCCCTGGGATTTTTAATGACCACAGAGAGTCAGGACCTCGGTTGTACGTCTCATCTGAAGGACGGCGCCTGTTTACAGTATATTGTCCCCGTTACTATACTGGGGCCTTAGTTTTTCCCAGGAGGTCTCCCATCCAGGTACTGACCAGGCTCACACCTGCTGAGCTTCAGTGGCTTGCCAGGTGTGAGTTGCAGGGTGATATTTCTTTCCTGAATTGTATAGCAATTTCTTCCATATATTCTCTGACACTTTCAAGACACATACACAAACATATATAACTATGCAAGGCATACATAATATATATGTTATATATTGCTTTTGCTTCACAGTGTCTTAATGAGAATGAGTTTTCAAACTGCATGGTGAATGGTGAACCTTTTAAGTAACCTTTAAGTAAAGGCTTTTTTTTAATTATTTTTTTCATGCCACTTTAATTCTTTGAAAACAATATATGAAGATTTTTTTTCCTTTGCCTTCCTTAATGTTGATTATTTGATGTTCCTGTCCTGAACTTTATTCGGAAGCATGACCTTTCACTTTGTAACTATGGGTTGTGAATATACAGAATCACCTCCCCAACGTGTTTTGCTGTTGGCAAAACTTATGGCTTTTTGAGTCCTACTTACTTCTTCAAACACTATACTTTTCTTTCATTTCGTTTGCCAAAATTCTTCTCCTCTAGGGTGCAATGTTCCAGAGCAAACATAAGTCCAGCTTTGAAATTTGTTGTGTTAAATATTATTGAAGGAATAAACCATTTTTGTCCCAAGCCAAGGGCACATACAGTACTTAAGATATCTTGGCTTTCTTAAAGCCTTTGCAGAAAAATGTTTGAGAATGTGAAATCATCCATATCTTTAAAAAAAAAATTATATAACCTTTCCTTGTGAAAAATACCAAGGTCCAAATACATTCTTCCAGTCACTGCTTTTGGAAACTACATGATTCCAAAAAAACTTTCCAACAACAAAAAAATACTAAAACATGTATACTCACAAATGGGTAACTAACAATAAATAAAATCCATTAGTGGGAATGGAATCAGTAATCACTGCACTTGCATGTGAATGTTTTATTTTTCAGTGAATAATTTACTCAGAACAAATCAATAACATCATTTTAACAGTGAACTCAGATTTAAGTAGGGTGGTAAATCATAATTCCTTACACACAAATTCTCTATTCAGTTTTAGACTACAATAAATGTAGTGTATTGTCTGGCTGTTTGATAACAACATAGTGGCACTGATATGAAGGTATTTTCATGATGAAGGATATACAGTTGATAGCTCAGGTGTTTTGCCTTGCTATCGTTTTTATACTAGAATTCATCGTGCATGTTTGAAGAAGGGTAATCCATGCGCTTTTTAGTCTTTTATCCATACAAGTGTAACTAGGCAAAATTAAATTAAACTGAGGTGTATCTTATTTTATTTTAGTATGTTCTTGATGCACAACTCAAATGGCTCGTGAAATATATGAAGAGTTTATAAGAACTAATGATAATAAAAAATTATCACAGCAACTCAAGATAAAGCATACTGTATGTGATCAGTCAATATATAAAGTTCTATTGTAACAAACCCATTATATTTAACAATTAAATCTAAGTGACTATTGGCTTTGTGTTCCTCATCATTAACAAAATGTATTCCTTTCTATACATCCTTAGAGATAAAGGGCTACCATTTATATTACAAACATACAGATTTATCAGGTTTATCTATTAATTTAAAACACAATGGTTAAAACATCAGTTGAAGATTGCCAAAGAATTGTATTGTTGCATAAAGAAGGAAAACTGAGTAAAAAGAGGAGAACAATGACAAGTGTTAGTAGAATAGCAGTGTACTATTGTACACTACTGTATGTAATGCAGTTTCCTATACATTCACTAATTGATCAACTGAAAACTGGAAAGTTATCAAAAATAGGAGTATAATAAAATGAAGCTCACTTAACCCAATATTCATTCGATACCCACCATGATAACTCAGAACAAAAAATCCACTTCCACTAAAATCACTGTGAAATTTGATGAGGATTTGATTTGATGTGGTGTAGACTGATTCTAATGCTGTATTTCCACTGAACTGTCCAATCTGTGGAGAGTTTTGATCTGGTCCATCCCTAAAGTGAGAAAAACAACAAAATGGAATTTTAAGCAGCAGTTACACAAATAATAGGAAATGATTGTGTTTTTTTTTGTACAGAACAGCCTTTTGAACCTTTTGATTTTCAAACCAACTTACCACTATAATTACAACTCCGTACACATTTCACTTTCACAGCAGCCTGAGAGAGATTGCGATAATATGTATGCACCACTGAGCCCAGAGTGCGCACTGAAGAGCAATTGTATACTGCTGTTTGGAGATTTGACACAGTACACATAGAACATCACATGCATCCAGGCAGCTCATCAGCAATAGGGGTTGCTAGTGCCGTGCGAGACATAAATTCCCCAGCTGTCTCCATTTCACCTAACTGGTAGCATTTGTTCAATTGGATGTATCTCCCTGGAAAGCTAGAACCAAGGTCCACTATTGACATAACCCTGTGATTTATCCCACACACTCAAAGGAGACTTTATTTACATAAAATACAAAGGGCCCATTGCAATAGTTTTCCACAATAGGACATTTCCTATTATTCTAAGGCAAGACAACAAATTATTAAATCAGGAATTACAAACATACCCCAATGTAACTGCAAATAAGACAGCGTTTATAGATATGTTTAGCTTTTAGCTGTTTGGCTTGACAAACGACAACCTGGCCATATGGACAAGGTAGTCAGAGCCCCCTGTGATACACCAAAGGGTTACTGCATTGGCAGCATTGATGGGTATGATGGAGTGGTATCAGCATGACAAGCTCTGTGATAGAATGGTCTAGGTGGAACATACTGATAGTGAGCTGAGATTGGTGGGAATTGGGATTTGCCTTTCTCCATAAATCCCATTATAATCTCCAATTAAATATTCCTCAGATGAAAGAAAAACAAATGTAATAAAAGAATGGAGTGTATTTGTCATTAAACAAGGACACTTTACTGGGAGAAATCATATCCACTGGGATGGTATGATCTGAATATCCAAATTCCTGAAGAGGATAGCCAAAATCACACCCATGTTCCATTTCATTCACAGCACACAAGCTACAACCAAGAGACAAATAATAAAGTTTAGGTACACATTAAGGACAAAGAAATGTCATGCACTTATGAGGATTGTGTTTTTAAATAGAGTGACAAGAAATTACTTTGTGAAGCTGCCAGCCTGATGAGCATTATAGGTCTCAATGTATTCCTTTAACTTTTGACCACTTCACAAGCTCTGCTGACAGGCAATAATGTGATTTCAACCTATGTAGGACATGCATTATTTAGGTGTTGTGGCCAGTGTATCACACACAGGAAATCTGATGGACTGGAAACACCATTAATAAGTAAATATACCCTCTGGAGAAACAAAGGGAAATTGGGACTTAGTTGTCCAGTGCACATTTAAATTAGATACAAGCTTATTTTCCATTCAGGGGTGCTATTCAATTCCTACTCTTGGATGGATCATACAGCTTTAGAGAATATTACAGAAGAGAAGCATTTAATGAAATATACGTATCTGATGAGAAATGTGACAAATGTGAAATTCATTGTGTCCACTCTTGCTTTAGTGGAACTAACCTGAAGAATGGCTTCCTGAACCATGCTCACAATGATTTCTAATATAATCACTGCTTGCTTCAATAGACACTTTTCAATGAGGGCCATGCATGTGAAATAAAAAGAACAAAGACCCTATTTGTTGTACAGGGGCAGTTTGCTCATGCAGCATGAGACTATTATGTCACATTCCACAAAAGCAAAGAATCGAAACACATTCATAATGCACTTCATTTTATGTAGAAAATCTTGTTTGTTTGGATGCATCATGCAATAACATTATCAATATCACATAAGAGCACAACTTTCTTAAAAATGTAATATGCAGTAAAATTCACATTACTCATTCATGATTGATGTGAACTTCCTTCAAAATACTTATTTTGTTAATATATTCAAGACATTGTACTCCATTTATTCTTAAAGCTATCTTAAGAAGAAATGTCTAGGTTCTTCTGTCACCTAAGAAAAAATGCAATCAAACTTGTGTTGACCATCTACATTTGTCACTAGAAAAGCTATAGGAAATCCATCTGCCATTTTGTACTTTTCTGAAGCACATACTTGAATAGAAATAGGCAGCAACTGTGCAGGAAAAAATTCTGATCTCATTCTTATAAAAGGGCAGAAGCATTTCTGCTGTGAATAAAGTGAAGGATCGAGCTGACAAAATATTCCACAGTGTCGTTTTTCCTCGGAGTTAGATATATATTTCAGAAATGGCACATATCAGATGGCAGTTTAGATACACAATGCTTCTATTTGACATCAAACAGAGCTCAAACAGAGCTTTACCACAGCAATTAAAGAGATTATTTCAATTGCTTGAAAGTGTCTTTTCCAGCAACTAAATGTTAATCTTAAAACACCTTGAAAGCTGACATGAAAGATTAGTCCTAAACTTTAGAAAGCTAGCATTCATTTCATGCATTAATAATATATAAAGTATTTCTCCACTGCAGCCTTTTAAAATTGATTTGAAACATATAATAGGACTTTCTTTAAAGCTGAAATGGCCAGAACCGTTGCCATGGTAACTAAAGGGAGGACACAACTAATTAACTACCCATTTTGATAGATCATCGGGGAGGATTAACTCAGTGTAACACATCGCTGTGTGTTTATTATCTCCAGCTCAGACTGTTCACAGATTTTAGGCCCAGTCACAATAATTAAAAAGCAGATTTTGTTTCCTGAAGCAAGCTGGTTAGCAAGAACAAAGCATGAGCAGATTTTTACAATTCAAAAAATTTTCAGGAAAGCAAAGATAGTATGGACTAAACGAATAGGTATCAGCATGTTAAATCAGATATATAAAACATAAGCCAATACAGTATGCTATGTATGAATTCATGTAGTATTACATTTATATGTTCGTATACTGTAGCATTGCATTATCTATTAAGCAGGCATTTGAAAAACAATGGGCATTTTACTGGTCATTTTTTCAAAAAAACAATATATAAATATATAAAAATACAGACTATTTATTTACTTAGGGAAGTGGCCAAATTACTGTACATCAGTTCTAAAACCAAGGCATTTTGGAAATCTTAGATTAAAATACTTATTGCACGAAAATATCTAAAAAGATAGGGATTTCATCTTGTGTGCACTCACAAATTAATGTGCATACTTTATTTATTTTGGAACAAGTAATAGGTTTATTCCATGCTGAAAAAAAAGAAAAAAGAAAACACAACGTTTCAGCCATGGAGCCTTCTTCAGGTGTTAGTTTCTTTCTCTTTTCTTTTTTTTTTCTTTTTTCTTTTCTTTTTTTTCAGCATGGAATAAACCTATTGCTTGTTCCTTTGCAGCCTACGCATGCTGACGCAGCTACCCACCATATTTATTTTAATTACCCATCAGGAGATATCAAAGGTACACAGCAATTGTCAAGTTAATTCATTAAGAATTTAAAAATGAACAAGAAATGTCTGACAAATTACAAACTGTTTTTTTCTGAGCTTTCCATCAACATTAAGGAATTGTAAATGCGTTTTTTTTTAGTATGCGATTAAAAAAATACTTGATCTTGGCATACCAATGAAATACCAATGAAAAAAAGAGAGGCAACTACTTACCATACAGTGATAAAGTCATAAATGGGCTCTGTTTGTAAGACTGTGAAGTTTATATATATGCCATTTCCGGGTGGAACTCTGACATTCCAAATGCAGTCTTGGAAGTTTGGATACTCATCAGGATGTCCAGGTGAATAAATGGTACCATTCATTGCTGTAATATTTCCCCCACAGAGAGCTTTGGTGCAAATACAGAAAATGTATTGTTAGAAGTCATTTGAACATTTCCTTTTATTATCCTCATTGTAAATGCTGAAAACAAAAACGTCCCTCTGAATCTCCTTTGTCTTATTTCAACCATCTCACTTGGACTTACTTGGACTTCTGAAAAAAGTAGAAGTTCATGCTTTAAAAGGGGACATTTATGAGTTTTCATCCTCTAAAACATATGAGCTAATATAATGCACTTTGTAAGCTATTGTGCTTTGCATTTGTATTATTTTCTTCTGTGCCTTCAAATATGTTCTTAAATATAATATAAACTGCATTTTGCTAATTGTAACCTTTGTTTGCTGTAGTGGATAGAGGAAAGAGATGTATGTACATACAGTTTATTATATACACACACATTGGGTACACACATACAGTAAAATAGCATTCAAGATCATAGGAAAATGTTTGAGATGTACTGTGCCTGTTGAGTCCAAAAAGTAACACTTACAAAGAACATGCAGTCAAACTGACTATGGTTACAGTGTCTTTAATCTCTGTCACCTACACTTTTTATAGCATTCAAGAACACAGGAAAATGTTTGAGACCATCCCATTCCCTTTATCCCTGTTCCCTGTTATCTCATTGTGATGTGATGCTAATGTACTCCAGCTATGCACCTCATATCTGGGAAAGAAGATACGTTTTTATGAAATATATTTCTCTTCCTGTTTTCTACTTTAACCAAAAATATAATGAAAGAAATCTTACTAGATCGAACAACAACAACCCTCATTCTTCTTTCATACTTTCTTCCATTGTGAATCCCAAGGTCCCCTTGAGAGCATTGTGCTGTAAATGCCTCCTAGCTAGTGCTCCCATCTCTTACAAATTCTCCAGCAAGAAGTTCAAAGTAATGGGTTTTGAACTGATTTAATTATGGCATCTTTTGAGAGTGCCAATTTACTGTATACTATGTAATCCCCAATAGTTTGCACCACCTATTTGATCCTTACCGTCTTGTCAAAAATCTGTACATAATCATTTTATGTAAATCTTTGTCATCCACTCAATGTTATGTCACAGTTTCTGTGGAGTAATTTAGAGTTTTTGTTCTTGTGTTTTCCTTGTGCTTCTAGTATATTTCTAATAGATTTTAGTAATGGAGTGTTTCCTCACTGTTTCTTGCAACTTTTCTGTTCTCATAAGATCTAATGATGACAAAACAGGTACTGTAAGCCAGTGGTGGCCTTTTATAAATGTCCTGCCTAGTTTCCAATGGCAGTGCTCTGGTGTAGGTGTATCTTATTACAGAAGGATCCTCATTACCCCATAAACCTAAACCTGTCTTCTACAAACCAATCCATTAGCCCCATGTATAATCCCTGTACTGCCTCTTGCTTCCCTTAGCTGGCACTTGACACTTGTAGAGATCTAAGAAGCTCATTGCAGACCTTCTGCTCTAACAGTATCTTTAAACTCTAAATCTGTACATTTGTCTTGCAGAATTGTCAGCCTACCCTTTCCTACATAAGCCTATTCACATAGGGAGGTCTTTGTGCACCTGGCAGGAAACAGATTATACGAGGACTCCCTTTTGCTTTGGAACACTACATCGTCTACTAAATGAATGTCTCAGTTTCACTCCTTCCCTTTTAATCTAGAATGGGCTTCTGAGTTACCGAGAGCCCTTCAATTGTCCCTTTTCCTCCAATCTATTAGGACCCAGATCCATCTCCAGTAAAGCTGTGAATCTGTTGGACATGGCACACACCAGGTATACAATACAATGAATCTGTGGTTTCTGGAGTTCCCTTTCACTTCTAAAAATAGTGTAAAATGTAGTAAATCTTACAATTTTAGAGGTTAAAAAATCTCACTTTAAATGCAGCTCAAATATTACATTAATGCAATATCTCAATTCATTCTTTCATTGTATTGCTATAGTACGTACCATTGCAAGTGTTTTACATTTAGGAGGAACTGACTTCCTCCTACCAATGATGGGTGTCTTGAAGTATGAGCAATTGCTTTACTTTATTTATGAAAATAAGGGGAAACGTTTTTTTAGGAATGCCAGACTATGCATGGATTTGCTTTAATGATCACATAGTGCATACAAATGCTTTATTCGCATTCATGTCCTCTAAAATCTTAAGAAAATCTTTAACAATAACAGAATTTTAATGACTAAAAAAATAAGAACATAACAGCTTTTAATAGTATTTCTGGTGAACCTAGAACTAATATAACCATAGACATATTTTATATAACATTTTATTTAGAACACCATAATAAATATTGTTACCAATACAGTGGGTTAAGAAAATATAATACTGAGAGGGATAATCAATAATTAAGATAAATAATTATAACCCCCAAATTGTATAGATACAGTATGCCAAGAATATACCAGAGCAGTTGATATACTTTACAGTAGTTAGAGGCACAACAGTTCTTTTAAATCTGGCACACTTCTGGAGGAGAAAAACTGGAGGATACTATAAGACAGGCAACTACAGTCTTTTATCCTATGTTTCTGTACTGTTCAATTCAATTTAATGAGCTTTATGACTTTTAATGATTTACCAAGAAGTTAATTAACTAAGGTAAACTAGGAAATTCGTTTTGATCAATGTCTTTCAGACCACCTGCAGCTCAGCAAACACTTCAGCTCCTACTCCTTGCTTTGAAGCCTAGAGAACTGCAAATGTTGATACTGGTTAGATGTTGACCCCTCATCTAGCTGTAACAATATTAAAGCCTATTTTAAAACAATCCCAGCTTAAACTGACACTTTTAAATCTACAGTCAAAAGTGTTTTAACATCTACTGTATATACAACCCATACATTTTTAGATTGAAATGAATTGTGTGGATTTTAAAGTAATTGGAAGATTACATTTCACTTGTTATTATTTTGTACATGTTGTGAAGACAAGTTTGCAAAGGGGATTGCCATTCCTTTAGGCTTCAGAATTCAATACCTAACTGTAGTGCCTGATGAAATTTCATTCCTAATGAGAAAAGATACAAATATAAAAAAACTAATACAAAAATATATTTTAGGAAAAAAATCTAGCTTTATATGAAGGAAAGAAGTTAATACTACAAAATCTAAGTAGCACTGACTAAAAACACATTTAAGAAATTGAGTACAGTACTTTCAAACTGTTCAATAGCTTTTAGTAACCTAAAGAGCAAGACAAGTTGAATAATTTCTACTTTTAATACTCTTATGTTCTTAGCTCTGGAGGGGGGGGGGGATAATCTCTGAAGTTATTTTTATTCTATTATGTTCTATTTTTGTTTTCAGATACATCATATACAGCAATTTACTTTCTAAAGGGGCAGACAACTGTTGAATGTGTTGTTTCAGGTTTCAAATCTTAAATTTGGTCTATACACTTTATGTCTTTATGGATAAAGGATATTCAGACAAATCCCCATAGCATTAAGAGTGGGCTGCTGAGCACAAAAGTATTACAAGAGAGAAAAATGAATCCTGTGATGCACAGTAGCTAACAACATTATGGAAATAATTTATAAATGTGTATAAATTAGTAGTTGCTTGTAGTGAACTACTACAAATGAAAAGAAGAGGTGAAAGTAAGTAAAATATTGCTTTATTTTGAGTATTTTTTAACTTTTTTTTAATTTTTTAATGTTTATCTAAAATCATCACCATTTAGAAAAATGTTACCTGGGCATTTTCATGATAGCATTTGTGTCACAGCATGCATAGCTGTATTTGATTAAAAAGAGCAGATCCTAACATGCTGGCAAAAAATGTATTGAATAATACTTATAAATGAACTAATTGGTCTTTTGTTTAAGCCATTTGTTTTGCCATTGGAATGCATAGCAGTTGTTTCACATTGACTGCTGTTTATTTTCAAAGACTTCTATTTCAACTTATTTTGATTTTCAAACTATTGTAGAATAAAAAGAACATTCATATTTTGATTTTTCTTTCTCAGTGCTTGTTTCTCATTGTCTGGTCATTCATACAGCAAATACTTCAAAGGAGATACTGTATGTTTCAGTAATGATAGAAGTTGCATTATTGATATTTTGACACTATACCCCAAGGAGGACATTAGAGTCTTGGAGGTATTGCAGGACCTGGTAGTTTTACAGAAAAAAAGGTCTTTGACCTTTGATCTGCTTTTCACAATTGCAGTTCTGGTGACTTGGGGAATTTGAATTTCAATGCTCTTTGTCAGACTTAGCCTTTAGAATTCAATACCTGATTGTAGTGCTAAGCATACACACTTAGCACTACAATCAGGTATTGAATTCCACAGACTTAGTATTTAAAATCTTTAAAAAAAAACCTTGATAAAATTACTGCCTTGTGGTAAGTGTTTGTATTCTTTGTGAGTTTGTAATACTCTTTACAGATAAAATCAGAAGAGAAGAAAGAAGATAGATTCATACCTTCACATCTAGGTAGAGGATAGTTCCAGTTCCTGCTGATCCCATGGAGACATGTTAATGCTGCCTCTCCAATCAGGGAATAACCAGGAAGACACTCAAAGGATATGGTCATTCCTACACTGAAGTCATTTCCAATCACAATTCCATTTCGGAAAGGGCGGGGGTCAGGACAGCTTTGCAACTGGTAAGCTGCAGAATTAGCAAATGTCATCAATGTTAAAAAAAAAATCCTTCAGTGTATTCATGAACATCCATGTCAAAAACATAAATTTAAAAGTCTCCCACTTCTGTTGTGTTTAAGGCTTCTGCAAAGGTTCTGATCAACTGTTGCAGTGGAAAATAACAACTCCTTATGTGTGTATTTACGTGTGAATTTAGATTTTATCCTAGCCATGAGACGTCTTGACAAAAATGAGTATATAGGAAGAAATAAAAAAAGAAATATCCCATTGCATTTTCTATAGTGCTTTCATTGGTACTGTTTTACATATTGGAGGAACTGATGGGTGTCATGAACTGTTGCATGCTGAATATACTTTAAACAGAACGCAGAGCCACAAGAGAAAGAGTGATATACTCAAAACTGACCTTGATATATGATGTGAAATCCCTGTTTGCTCTGAGAATGGTCACTGTGGAAATAAAAGCTGGTTTCGTGGGTGGTGCTGAAAAGGGAATCTGGCACTTGAGGCCCACTGAACCTGTCAATCACGGTGCCTGTCTCTGACAATCCACTCCGTATCTCTAAATAATCATGGATAGCCTCGGTGGAGAAATTCAGAAACTGGAGATGAATACCTGGGGAATAATGGTACATGCAGTATAAGAAGAAAAATAGGAGGAAGTTAAGCTTTCTGATTTCTCCAGCACTACTTATGAAATATGTTTATTAACTGATTCAATTAATTTGTCTATCCAAATCTGCTTGCATTTGTACCCATTTAAACATCAGAGCACCTTACTGAAACAATCTGAATTAATTACCTTCTTCAAAGATAGAACAGCAGTGCTCTACCTGGGACTTTAGCTTTAGATAAATGTCCAGGGCCCTAACTACTACGCCATAAAATTCCTTTAATTGCCTTATGTTTTATCAAATGATGTTTGTTATTATTTAAACTGTCATTTATAACCTCCTGCACTTCATTGTATCTAGATAATAAGATTTTGACTTTAACCACCTAAATCCTGGGATCACCTAGCTTCTGAAATCTAGTCAGTTGATCCCTGACATAATTATATTACCAGTGTATGTGGTTGTACAGTTGTATGCTGATAACATGCATTCAGTAAATGTAGTTTTCTAAATATACATGCATATACAGTACATACCAAAACCAATAGGAAGTTTTACGGTCCATGTGCAGTCTAAGCCACTTGGGTAGTTGCCAGGATACCCAGGACTTAAAATGACACCACTGAATTCAGTCATTGAGCCTCCACACTGGGCTGTGTAGAAAATGACAGAAATATTGTAAATTTTATTATTGCATAATACTGTAAATGGACCAAAAAGCCAATTTTACTATTTCTTTCAAAGCTGACTGAAGTGAATGTGGAAATTAGAGGACATTTGCTCTCAACACTTTTTCTGATGCAGTGCAAAGAAAAAAAAAATGTTACAAAGCAACTGTCTTGTTCTGGTGGGAATATTCAGCACTGCTTATCTGCCAGAACTACCAATACACAATATAAACCAAAGTACTGTACAAAATGAAACATCAGTCTTCACAACAGTTATGTTTAAAATGTTAACTATGAAAAAGTTCCTGAATGAACAAAAAACATGTCAGAATCCAAAAAAGATTTTGAATGCTACAGACAGGAAGTACACAAGTTTAATAAGCGAATCCTTAAAACAGCGCACTCATCTACTAATGTGCCTACATACTGTGGTTACTTATTTTATCCTGTAATTTATTAATAACCCAAAAATGTATGCTTAATAATTTAACTGGAAAGGGAGCTGGAAAAGTAAATGTTTTCTTCTGGCAAGGTGTTGTAGTTTTCAATTAAATTTTCTCCCTTATGTACTTGAAGTGAAGTACATATTTTGAATTTTTGATGATGTGCCTTGCCTGCATTTAGTTGCATGATTTGATAACAACGCTTTTAGGAATCTTCCTATAATGTTTGATCCAAAGTTAAAAAACTAGAATATTAAGTATTAGGGCTTGTTACATTGTATGTGACCTAACTAAGAAGTTACTGTTGATGATATGTAAGCAACTTAAAAAAAAGAAAAATCTCTTGAGTTACAGGTTCAGAATTAGTGGAGCTGTGCATCTGATACAGTAAAGTATTTCATGTGTGAATTAGCTGCCCACTGAAATGAATGTAGAGTTCATGTTATCATGTTAATGATAGTTGTCGTATTTAATTAAATATCCATCCATTGCATTCTACATGACCTAGTGAGGGTCATTGTGTTCAGCAAAGATATAAAGGAGAAAAAGTCAACTGGAACAGCTGGGCTCTGAAGGATATGAGACATTGAAAATTTCAGGACATTGCTGCTTGCAATTCTATTTTGATTGTGATGAACATAACAATGATAATGATGTCATTTTATATGTACAGTATGTATTTTATATATAATTTTAATAATTAACAACAATGTGTTTTGTCTTTATATGACTTGAATGGCAGGATAAAGGAAACAGAAAAATAAGGGTTGTGTAATATTTTCTATCATTAAATTATGCATTACATTTGATTGTGATGAACACAATGATGATAATGATGTCATTTTATATGTACGTATTTAAATATCATTTTAATAATTAACAACAGTTTTTTTTGCCTTAATATGACTTGAATGGCAGGATAAAGGAAACAGAAACACAAGGGTTGTGCAATATTTTCTATTATTAAAGACCACTGTCATTGTCAACAGGCCAAATGAAGGTCCACCACAGTGTCTATGCAATGAGGCGTATTTCATATTTCATTTCAATAATCATTATGGAACCTAAAACCTTTTTTGCAATGGTGCCAAAAAAATCTGCATACACCTTTCTAGTGCTGTGGTGAAGAAATCTCTCATCAGTACACTACCACAGGTTTGTCTGCAAAGCAGAAAACTTAACAGCTATTGAGCTTTATAATCATTCACACTATAATGCTGCAGAATTAATTGTTTTTTTTTTATGTGCTTGTAATTTCTATCCATTTAAAATTTGCCCCGCCACGTAGGCTTTGATTTGTGATCATGCAGTTGGCATCAGCTTGCTTCTTTGTCTGCTTGCTGTTCTATAAATAAGCTTTTTTTTCCCAAAAGTAATTTTAAGGCCATTTCATTTCTCTCCTTCATGCTAAGGGGTAGACAGGAGATGGAAAGAACCCCACTACATCAATAAAATGTGACCATGAAATCAAATTTAAATTTGTTATTACATTTCAAAACTTCATAATACAGTTATAAAAATAGTGTTAGAATGATGAAAACAATACTCATTTGCAGAACTTTAAAGGTTAAAAGGAATGCTATTTTTGCATTATGGTATATACAGTGCTTGGGAGGAAATAGTCAGTGGGCTCAATTCACTTCACAATTCTAGTGATACCCTTTTTTCTTCAGGGTTCAGTAGTTCCATTGGAGGAAATAATTTTGACTCTCTTTGGCTATCATATTGGTCACTTGTACATAATGGTACAAGTGCCATAAAATGTGTCTTCAAGCAAACACTAAACCAGGGGAAGCTTAATATAAAATATGAAGAGAATTCTACAAGACCATTCTGTATATAAATGTTACAGAACACATTTAGCTGGTGCTAGTAGCTATTGTCCAGGTTCAATAAGGCTTCATCATCTGTTTAACAAAAGATGATGAAATGAGTGCTCACAGATTTAATGGTGTTATGTGTTTAAAAGATATCTATTGGCATGAGGTTTGTGGATGATTTGGTTCAATGCATGAAATGGGAGGCTGTTTAGTCAGTGGGATCAGAGGTTGCAGCAATGACTTGAATTCAGCATAAAACAGAGACAAAGAAGAAAAAATTAAATGTGACATGGGAACAAATGTGAATTTAAAAAAACGCATACAGACAAGTGGGAATCCTTTGATCAGAATTGAATTTTGAAAGTGTTCACTTGGAAGGTACAGTATAAAGAGCTGGTCCCACAGGTCATCTAGTTAGTACAAGCAAATGTTCAAATGATCTGTTCAGGAAAAACATTTTTGACAATTTGGGGATAAACTCTTGCCATTGAAAAACTAAAAGTCAGAAAGAATTTCAATCATCTATGCCATCTGCAATCCTACAACAAAAATGAAAACCACAGAAACAAAATGAAGGTGGCCTATGACAATTTGCTATTCAACACAAATCAAAGAACTTATTTGATGGGAGCAGAGTTCCAGATGTATTTTGTATGTGAAAATTGAGGTAGACCAAGGAACAGTTCAAGAAGACACACTTTCAGTCTAAAATGAAGAATATGGCAGTCTTTAATGGGAGTATTGCACTTATTTTTTCTTCTATTCAATACTAGTTGTTGCTTCAATTGCTAAATATACTTACACATATATAACATTTAGACAAGCTCTCAGGTATATACTGCTAATGTTTTATTATTTTTATTTAACATTTAATGATTTTTCTTAAAAAATACTTCTAAGTGTTGTTTTATTAAAGATGTATATCTGTAAGCAGAGGGTTTTTAAATTATTCATCAGTGTAATTTAGCTCTTCAAGATTTACAGCTGGACTGCATTGAAGTAGTTGCCTTAGGATACAGAAACAGAGAGCTGTTACCTAGTTCCTTGCTTCCTTAAGATTGTGCTACACTATCTCCATTTGCAATGAAGAAATGGAGTTCCATTTTGGTTTAAGTGCTCATTTGCATACTGAAACTCAAGTCTTGAAGAAAAAAGCAATACTGTAGGTCATTCCACCATTTAAATATCTAAAATATCTACCTCTAAATTTCTAAATGTCTGCTGTTTTCATTACCAAAATGACAGTTGTTCCTTATTATTTTAAAAATTAAAATTCAAAATTCATGACAAAACCTAAACCATTAGTGGACTCTTTTGAATTACTACTATTAAAAATAGCTATTTGTTAATTTGTTTTCTATGAAATGTTTCCATTTCCCAAGTTTAGCTTTATGCAAATATTTTTTCTCCTCATCAGCCATAAATTCTTAAAATGCAAATGCAATATTTAAAAAAAAAAAACTAAGAAATGCTAATGACTTAGCACTGCAAATGTTAGAAACCTGTGCAGAATAGTGCTTCCAAAATTGCTTTGCGGTGTAAATTATAATTTGTCATTGTGTTGAGATTGGCAACCAGGTACGCTTTTGTCATGACTGTGACCAAAATATGTCCCTTACTTTGTCTAAGTTATAATCCTTTACGCAAGCATCAGTAACAACAACAGAAACCAGAATGGTTAGAACAATTCACCTCTTACCTTTGCCAACAACATATCAACACTAGCACATACTGTACCTAAACAAAGTGGAACAGGGTAATTCCATCTTCTTACAGGTCCAGGCATACAGGTTATATAGGTATTCCCCTTAAAATAAAAAAAAAATAAAAACATAATTTAAATAGATATGAAATTATCCCAATCAAATCATTTTAGAATATCTTCAAAAATACTATTATACATTATTTGTACTAATTTCAGTGGCATTTGTCTTTTTCAAGGTAGATTTTCCAGTTACAGTTACAGTTTTCTACATTTCCAACAAACTGAGCTTCTGGATAGACTCCTGGCCAAAACTAAGGTAAATCCAGCTGTCATGGTACATGCTGGAACAAATCATATACTTACTGTAGGTTAAGGTAGATACTATAAAGATTTAGCTAAAACACAAAAACAGGAACAGAATATCTACTGCTCTTTTCTCAGAAAGTCTACCTGTAACAAATGTGTGACCAGGAAAATGGAACCTGTACAAACAGGACACGATGCTCTTGAATTGGAGGAGTGCCCATATGTTTAGGAAGCATATGCATAGATTAGTTGAGGAATATTAAAACTAAAATACGTGGTACATGAGCTCCATTTCTTATGGAATAATGAAAGTTCAGGGCAACACTAAGAACAAACTGAGTAATCCAACCATTCGGAAAAGCTTGTACCTAAATGTTAGAAGCATTAACTATTAAATGCTTTAAATGTCAAAGTTACTGCAAAAACAGGTAACAATGACATTACAGGAAAAACGGAAGTGTGGTTTGGATTAATATAAAGTAATCATTATAGTTTTTCAGAAAGTCAAGCAGAAGAGAAGGAGTAAAGGTATGGGACAACATTCTAAAAATAACCTGCTAGCTACAAAACTGAATCAAAAGGGTACAGGCAGTATCGAATCTACAGTATATGGGCCAACCAAGGCCAACTAGTCCAAGATGTAAAAATAGAAAGAAGCACACTGAGCAAAAGGTACAGTTGGAAAAAAAAGAGAACAGCAGTAACAGAAGATAAAGAAATCACAAACCTGCAAAATGAACATTTCATACAGGTTTTTACAAAAGTTGACATTAATAACATGCCCCATGTTATAGGAGGCACTCTATCAGTATTGGATAATTTCAGTATAACTGACACTGAAGTTCTACAGGGGCTGGTACAGCTTAAAGCCAATAAATCATCAGTGGCTTATGGCATGACTCCAGGCATACTTAAGGAAATGAGGGATGCTATTCATAGGCCCTTAGCTAGTATGTTTCAACTCTCATTAAGCATGGGAGCTGTACCCACAAATTGGAGAACTGTAAATGTAATGTCAGTTCATAAGAAGGAGAATAGAACTGAAATGGGAAACTCTGGGCCAAGGAGTTTTATTTCTGGTATTTGTAAAGCTAATACCGATAGTTTACCGATAGCAAAACTTGAAGGTGTAAAATATTGATATTCGAAGAATAACTGAGAAAACTCAAAAACGTATAATAGAACAACACATTTAAATATCCAAAATGCTTTTGATTCAGTCTCTAATTTTTCAGAAATGCTCAAATGAGCAATGTATTTTCATGCTTTAAAATGTACCACTAAGATATATTGTTAACAATACCACAAAAATACCTTACCGTAGAAAGAGTTCCAGAAGGAGCAACACAAATGATTCCTAGTCCTAGAAATTAGGTTAAAGGATCTAAAAACCTATATATCTTCATTTTAGCAACAAGGATGTTGGAACCAAGTATATTAATAATTAATGATAAGTTAATAATGTGAAAAATAAGCAACCTGTTAGAACACTGATCAAGAAACCAACAGAAACAAGTACATGAAAACTTACATAGAATCAGCTTAGGATTCTTATATTTTAGCAAAAAACTTAATGTGGAATAAAATCTTGCTACAAAATTTGAGAATCAGTTAAAGACGTAATTGCTGCAGCCCATATACAGTACGGGTATAACAGACTTCTAGTCAGAGAATCCTCCAGTTCAACCATTCAGCCCTTTCAGGTTAGTGCACAAGTGCATATTTGTCAAAATTATTGTCTTGGCAGGAAACTAAAATTATTCTATTTAATTTTTACGTCTTTCAGCTTTGCTCTTAAAAATAATTCAACATTATAAATCAGAGTAACCAACTCCTCCCCTCAGTTTTTAAATATTTTCCTTAAAATCTTGTGGGTGAACTTTTGTTCAACACAGGCTGTAAGCTCTCAGAGATATGTCTGGAAATTGCTTAATAACAGGCAAAATATGATGAAATAATAATTTCCTTACCTGTAGAGAATATCCTTGATCACATTGAAAAGATACAACATCTCCAACCATGTATCTGTCACCAACTTTTATTCCATTATTTGGAGTTTGAGGCTCTGGGCAGGAATCTAAACCTATTGCTTAAGACAGAGGAAAACTAGGATTTCACAATCCATGTACATTTAATACCTGTACTGTACATACTGTATGTATATTAGTATTGTCTATTTATTATTTGATATGTATAATGCATGTACTGTAGATGTATATTTAACTTTTATTTTGATATATACTGTATTAGTTGTATTAGAGTGTGTAGTTGGATAGGTAGGCATGTTCCAGAAGCTAACAAGGCAAACATAAAAGCATAGTTGTGATGTGAGATTATAAAAATGGCTATCTACTGTATTTGTCTACACAACAACAATCTAACTACAAGCAATGCAATTTCTCCAAACAAAATTATAATTTATGCATGACTAGAATGCCTACACTGATATATGAGGGGAAATAACGCCTTGAACATTAATTTATGTACAAATTTTAATTTTGAATACTGATTGATTTTAAGAGTTAAAGGAATAATTTTGAATAACAGATTCTGCAGCAGAATGTAGGAACACCCTGGGTGCACAAACAGCAAAGCTGATTCTCATGCTGAAGAGGTTATTTTCAACAGTTTAGCTTTTAAGTAGGGACAGTGTAAAATCACTGCAGTGAGAGGCAAAGAATCTTATAATCTTTATAGTCAGGACTGTAAGCTTGTTCTCTCTAGAAACCCAGAAGATTAAAAAGCATATCAAAGATATTCTTTGGGCAAACCACATAGAGATAAGCAAGACATAAATCAGTAAAATTATGATGCAGTCAGCTGTTTTGATTCCTGACCTACTCTAGAATTAAACTATCACCCCTTAAAGCTTAGAAATTTATATTGCACATAGCAAAAAATACCTGATAATTACATATATGTATTTAAATATTCCAAAATGATAAACAATATAATATAATTTATTGTCTGAGTTGTTATAAAGATGTACCGTACTGTACAAACTTTGTGAATGCTTTCATTCAATTTTGTACAGCATATTTCAAGGAAATATTTCATGTTGCTGAATGTGGAGACATCCTTCTAAAGTACTCCAAGGTGTACAGTAAATGATCAGTTTTAAAGATATTGTTGCCTTCACCAGCTGTCTGTGCATGGCTATGGCAAACAGAACGTTTTCTGCACATCAGTTTGCCTATTAGTTTCAAAAGCTTTAGGCCAACTTTTTTTATGTACAGTGCACGATTTAAGTTTTTAAATTTAAAATTCACTTAATATTCTTTCATTGCAAAAATCTAGAAAGTCAAAAAAACATTTGTTCATTTTAGTATTGCTCTTTCAAAGGAATTTAATGTAACTCACTGTTTTAAGTTTACACAATTATTATTGTATATTTTGATTTTTTTAATACATTGACATGATTACTTTTATTTAATCCATAGATTTTAGACAATGAATAAATACAGACTCAATAGTAAGCATACCTGTATATTCCAGATGAAATCCAGCAGCAGACACACTGATATCTGACTGAAAGTTTAAGTATAGGCTATTTGATGTGCTGTTTAAAAGTTGTGGTATTGTTGTCCCTAAAAAAGTTCAACAAAAATGTTAATAAACATTTACATAAAACTATAATTTAATGAAATGCCTGTGAAATGTTAAAATGTGTTTTTTATTAATAGTTTTTATATTTTTTTAATTTCCAGCTTCCTGTATCAATGCTAGGAGGTTGAAAATGGGATAGAATACCATACACAAAACACAAGAATTCAGTATGATAATGACTCCTGTAATTTTGACCACAGCTGCTCGAATACAACTGTCAACACATTTTCTTGTGTAGAGCCAAATTGGACATTTTCTGTGGCATGATTACATTAATCTTTTGCAAATCTTTGACTTGGCATGGGAATTTAGAAACACACACAATTATGTCAGAAGTGCACTGCACATGCCAGCTACTGTAACTTCAGTCCACATAAAGAGCAAGATGACAACTTTGGCTGTACCTCCCCTGTTATTTTAAAAATGTCCATTCATTTTTTGTGAATAACATTTAGTCAAGTAGAGAAAACAAACATAACACAAAGTCATTCAATGCTCCTATTTTTTTCCGATCAGTTATCTTAATTTGGATTCTGCAACAATACAATAACAACAATAGAATTTCATAATTATACATTCTTTTGTAGGTCACCCTTTTATGTTCTTATACAAAAGATTCCAAAAGTGAATGTAAGGTATGATCAGAAAATAGATCCTAGGATGTACTAAGAAAGTAGCATTGTGAGACCCAAGATGCAGCCTTTATTATTAAAAAAGAGCCAATGAAAATCTCTGTAGAACTTAAGCTAGGGGATGCTGCTTGCTGAAAGAATGTCACATCTGTTGACAACCTTGGTGGATGACAGGAAGATAATACAAGACAAATAGAAGAATATCAAAATGAAGGGTTTATAAGGCATTTGATGGCAGCAATGTAGAAATGAATTCCATACTCATAACGTGCTTTATTGTGTTTTATCTGTGGTTTGCATCAATAGATGGGTACTTAATCATCACAAAGCAAACATCCCAAAGAAACTGTAATTTTCGTGGATGATAAAGCACTATTTGAATAGGAAATGACAAGTTGAAAGGTTGTTTAAATGAGCACTACTCTGTCCACATATAAGTAGGATAACCCCTTTCATCATACATTCATCTTCCGATTGTGCACATAATCTAAAACAACTTAAAGGGAGCTGAGAAGTCTCTTAAATCTAAATGCCCAGAAACACTTATATTCCTGACAAGATAGTTAATTGTACCATTAACCTACAACATAAAGGCATTTTAACACTATTACAGAAGATTTAAAAATTGACATATGACATTTTTGATGACTATGTGCATGACATTCATAACACTTTGTGATAATCATCAGTTTACCTGAATAACTGCCAAGTCTTGGTGCATTGTTATCTGCCCCATCATAGAAATCTAATGAATCCCAATTATGTTCTGTAGCAAAACTTACAACCTGAATCTAGAATATAGGGAAAAAGGAAGGGAAGACAGTACACAGTATGTAAATTTCTAGTCAAGATCTGTTTGTTTTACAATGACTAACAGTAACTACAGTTGGACATCGAAAAATCTCCTATGGGACCAAAGACATCCAAGTCACTAAATCTACAAGTGAAAAACAAATACTGAATAGAACAAGAAAACATGATTCAAGTTCAAAATGCTTTCCATATTAAATTAAACATTGGCCTAATCCATAATTCATCTGACATTAAAAATTCCCTTTATTTAAGTTTTTATAATAGCAATATTTTAATTCTTGTACATTTAATTCATGAGGCTTCAAAAGCTTACTCACTTGAATTCCAGCTCCCTCTGGCACAGAGATCTTCCACACACAATTCAAATTGTTGTCATATGGCTCTGGATAACCGGGAGACAGAATGGTTCCTCTGCGCTTCGTTAGAACTCCTCCACAGGGCACTAAAAGCAAAATTCAGAACTTTGAAATAAGAAAGCATAGCCTGTAATATAAAGCACATGACTGATGAAAAAAAATGAAATATAACATTAAGATGAAGTTTAAAAGCCACATGGTTCAGAGACGTAACAAATAACTCAGGACATAGAATGGTAATTCAAAAGGTAATGGGTCATTTAATTTAAAAATGTAATGCTTTCATTAAAAACTGCATTTTCAGGAAGAAAATACATCATGACATTATAGATTTTATAGCACTTCTGTTATTTGTAACATATCCTATTAATTGAAGAGATGTACAACCAAACAGTATGTAAAATGTTATTTATACATTATACTACTCACTATAGTACTACTTGTAGAACAAGTAGAAATTAAGTAATATTGTTTTGTCACATTAATAAATAAAAGATGCATGAAGAAGCAAAAGAATCTAAATTTCTGTTTCCAAAGTAAACTGTTTTTGCAGAAATAAAAATCTTATTTATTGGATAAAGCAGCAATGAATGCATTTCCATATAAAACATACAAAAGAGCAAAGCAAAGAATCTGGAGGTCAAAAAAGCAATTTAACATTTAAAAAGCATGTCTGAAAACACCATTACTATGTAATATCATCTCAGGAAACTGTACACATATATGGTAACAGTTGTGCCTCATGTGACTGACAGACAAAATAGGGCTGTAGGGTTGATATGAGGAACTTGTCAAGGGCTTTCATTCACCCCATGAATTTGCCTTTCATGTTTAGATTACTGAGATAATGCATTACAATTATTACTATACTGTAAATTCTATAAATTATTTATAATCCAATCAATTCCAGTGTTTAAATTACAATAATTGCAAAACTGTAACTGTGAAGAACATAGAGAAAAAATAGAGAAAAAAAGGGGGATATTAATCTTAGGGACTAGAGGGTGTAAGCCCAGACATTTCACTGGAAATTTCCATTTCTTTCAAGTGTACTTAACAGAACAGATATAATAATGGGGTGACTTCTGACAAGGATCAGTACCATTTCGTAAACCCTATCATAGTCCTCATAGCAGCCAATATTATGATAATACACATTGTGGTTAAAAGTAGAACACCCTTGAAATATGTCCGGTCAGGGATTTACTGCCAGAAAACACAATCTTCTTACTCAAATCATTGTTCTCTGCTCAATCATTACTTGACATGTTTTGATAAAAAAGCCAGAGGTGAGGTAGCGTGATTGCAAGGTAATTTAATGACAAAACAGATTGTTCAGAAAGAGAATTTTTTGATGAGCTGAATTGCATGCACAATAAAATGTACATGTATAATATTGCCAAGCAAGTGGCTAACAATTACACATATATTTTAATGTTAGAAGAAATCATAACACATCAGCCATTTTATTCAGGAAACTCTTTTTGATATTAAGGAATCCTACTGAACTTAATATCAAAACAAAGCAAAAGCAATTGACAAGCATTTGAAAATGACAATTCCTAGATATTTTCATCCATTACCAGACTCTTATACCAACTCAGAGACATCAGTTACCCTAGCAATTGGGTACCCTCTCTTTGGTAGGTACAATGGGAGGAAACCAGAGCAGTTGGAGAAAATGTGTTTGAATATAGTACAAAATGCAAATGTCTCCTAGATATATTATATGCAAATCAGAATGTTTCTAGCGACAACAGAAAAGGAAAATAACCAGTCTTAATCTTTTTGTATCCAATAGGCACTATGCAAGCTCTTGATAGGATGTTTTATACTGGAATTAGGATTTAGTAATAGGATGGTAGCAATAAATAAACTAGAATACCTGGCTTGCACAATGAAGTGTACTGTGAAACAAAATAAAAGTACTAAGTGCAACCTTAGCTGACATCTGTAAACACAGCAGGTCTACAAACACCTGTAAGTGATGTGGGTGGAGTGGTAAGTGGCTCCTTTCATTGTGGACCATAATTTCCAATTTACTGTAATTGCCCCGGTACAGTGACAGAGAACACCCTGCGAGCAGGTACATGTATTGTCCTTTGGATGTGATTTTTAAACCAATGCCTCGACTGACATTGTTGTTATTAGAACAACATTTGACCCACACAGTCTGGCCTACCTACTGTATATTCCCCCCTCAATTCATTTCGTGAAGTAATTTCTTAATTCTATAATCTGATCTGATATGTAATGGGTATGCTGGTGAATAACGCCTGCCATAGTTCATCCAGGAGGGCATTGAACACTGAACAGTGGTGGATGGACTGGGTCACCAGTCGCCATGCTTTAGAATCTATGGGATTAAAAATTCAATAGAAATGTAAACAATTAAACTCGCATTGCAACTTTAGAGTTATTGTATGCCTACAAGAGAATTAGTATTCAGAAATATAAAATATTTGAGAACTAGAAAACTAATGCTTTTTGAAAACATTATTTTCTGCAATTAATGGACAATCTTATTAGAGATATGCTCATTATAACCATATAAACATATGTAAAACTGGATTTAGACTTTAATTGGTATTTTTTTAAACTGGAAAATACAGAAAACACATCAAACATATTCATTTTAAAAATGTAAAGGGGTGAGATTTCAAAAGAAAAACAAGTAACTGGCTAAAAATGACTAAGCTTCATATGTATGAAATTGGATATATTCTGCAGAGAACTGGCTGCCTGACTTCTTTGTTTCTCATTAAAAGCTTTTCAAATCGGATTGCTTACTTTCTAAAAAAAAACATGGATTTAATTTGTATGCAGTAGTAAGCATGATGGCATTCTTATTCATTTTCTTAACAGACATCCTTATCTACGGCAAATTACAATTTTTACAAGGTTTAACAAAGGACACAACACATATAAAGCAAGTACAACATTTTTTTTAAATGACTACAGGCAGCATAGGGCAAAGGTAAATGTTAGTGGGGTATTTAAAAAATGTCTTATCTGAAAGACAACACTACCTAGAGCACAGTGTCTGCTATCACTAAACCGAAGCACTGGTTTGGAAATTCCTGCCCATAGGGAAAAGTGCCACTTACTATTCCACCAAATACCACTTTGAAACACCATCTCCTGAACAACTCCAGATTTTCCTTAGAGGCCTCCCATTCTTGTATTGACCAGGCCCGGGTTTGCTTAGCTTCTGAGACATATGAGATCAGGCTACAGGGTGGTGTTTTTCTTTTAAGGTTTTTATAAGTTTTATATTTATTCTAACCAGGACCCACCGTGGGAACAAAAGGAAAATAAACAGCATTCACATGGACTATTACTTATATTAATTTCCTATTAATTTTCTATTGTAAATCAATATGTTAGTGAGCGGAAACGGAGACTAGGAGGAAAACGCAGACAGAGATTGCTATTAATTTTTTTTTTTAATTAAAAATCTTATGTGACCTTATCTCACAAAAATTGCTCTATGAGGTTCTCCATGCAGGTGTCTTTGTAAATCTGAATTACAATCTCCAAAAGAAAGCTTTACAGGATTAATATATTTTTATCTTCATCAGTTTTGCTGAGATAACCTTTGTAATACGGGGTATTTACAGTAAAAGGGAAAAAATGACTATGAAAAGCCTGTTTATGAGACAGAATTTATGCATGTCCATTACATGCACTATATACTGTATATGGTTTGCACTCACAGTTTTCCTACTATACTTCAGTCAACCAAAAAACTGTAGAAGGAACAAAAGAAAGATGTTTTCTTTCTAAATACAGTATACAGTGTAAGTGTAAGCTCCTATCTTTGAATCAGTGGGAGAAACAAAAATGATCTTTATTGTATCCTTTTTTGAGAGCTATTTCTTTCCTTTCAAAAGGCTTTACCGTTTCTGCCTCGATGATAATCAAATACAACAAAAGAAAGTAAATGTAAATGACAAAAGCTTCTCAGGGTATTTAAAACTGCTATCATATTTTCCACTGCAAATGTCTGATGCTATCTGTCTAGGACAACATGGATAATATAGAGGTCAACGCCAATCACTTTGTTTAAACAGTTAAAAGCAGGTACAGACATGGTGATTGATGTCCAATATCTGTGAGGAAATGTTTTAAGTATTTGCTAGAGATTTAACGCAGTTAAATATGTTCATGTTCACCACTTAAATTATTAAACTGATTCAGTTCAATGCAATTTCAAGCTCATCCATATTTTACCACTGTTATCTACTGTGCTATGTGCTCAATGGTAATCGGGATTAATACCTCTGGTCTTTAACCCTTCAACAGAAATGAGCCTCAAACATAATAAAGTCCACATGTACAGTGAGAAGAGCCTGTAACATCATGCACCTATGAACCATTAATCAGATTTATGTGGAGTGGGTTCTTTCGTTCCTACATTTACAGTTCTCTCTGTGAGTAAAGTTTTTTAGAGATCTTAAGCAAACATTTCATTCTAAACTCATTTTAAGGTGTGAAGTAGATTTAACTAGTAATTTACGGTGGTGGACTGTCAGGGTAGTATGCAGCAAACGTTTTCTCTTACAGTCACTTGCTACACCTACCCTGGGAAGAAGAAAGCACTAAGTAGGGATCAAATGTGCTCCATTCTCCAGCGGTGCCATCCCTCACTTTTCCTTGCACCATGCAAACAAAAACATTTATAAGAAAATAGGTCTACAACTTTATTACTTTAGGGGGGACTAAATAGACAACAAATACCACTATTCGGGACTAGGGATGTGCAAAAAAAAAATGAAATGGTTAGCGAAAGTTTATTTCTGAAATCCCTTCACCTTTAAATATCTTAATATATATTTGATTAAATTATAATTGGGGCACGTATCTGCTCCTTCTCTACTACATCAGGAATTAATGCAAGAATTGTAATGTTTTCCTTCACAAAGAAGATAGACGTCTATATATTTTCTGCACACCCCTAAGAGGTATTTGCCTTAATGATATCACATGAGAGGCAAAAAAATAAAAATAAGACAGACAACATTTCTCACCTGTTGGCAGTTAAGGACCTCTTGTGAAAAAGCAAGAGGTTCATTTCCAATTGCTCGACAATAGGAAACATGAATTAATTTGGTTATTTTGCTGCCAACAGGAATTGATTGTCAGTTGGTCTCAAAGTACATTATCATGATATATGACTGTTTTAAAATAAAAGCATTCCATTATTTAAAAAGGCATCCCAAAAGCTGCAATTTGTATTTTTGCATGCTAACATATCTATTGATTTGGTCTAACTGATACCAAGGTTAGGTTCTTGAATTTAACAAAACTTCTCCATATTTCTTTCTTTTTTTCTGGGATCAAGCACATTATTTTGAAAGATAAGGACTTCTTTACTTACCAACACAAGTGGGAAGAGAGTCATTCCACTGAGCCAGAGCATTGGGAACTGTTTCACATCTAATAGCTGTTGATCCATGTAGAGTGTATCCTGGATTACATTCAAACAGAACCACCGCGCCAACTGCAAAATCATTTCCAATCCTTTTCCCAAATCTTGGCTCTGGTACAGAGCTGCACTGGGTCGCACTTGTCCGTGGAACAGCTGCATGCATGTAAACACAAAGATTATAAAATGATGTATCATTTTAACTTTTCAATGAACAAACAGCAAAAGATTAAGATAAAAGAAACTATTGCAAACATTTAAATTTAAGCCACTATTCATAGAAAACAGTGTTTTCTGCTTTGGGTATCAAGTGCACATTAGACATATGGGATTACAGTGTATATGTGAAATAATTTTATACAGTATACACCTTCTTCGCTTTGCAAAAATTATAAAAAGTATGTTCTAAGGGTATAGCAAAATATTTTTCTCATAGCTCATATCATACATTAAGTTTACTTTCTAAAGTGAGATTGTCATTTAATATACTGCTATTGAACACTTCTAGCAGAGTTTCCATGAAATTAAGTCAAATGCTGTTTTTGCTCAGGCTGTGGTCCCTGAGCTTGTACTTCATCGGGGTCTTTTTCTCCTTCCTGCTTATTAGCCTGGTCAGATTCTTGGCCAGTGTGTATTGTCTTTTATCAATTTAGCATTCCAATTTGCGCTGTGTTTGTGTGTGTCCCACAGGGTGAAGTACAGTTGTTTGGCTTGTTCTGTAATTTGGCTCATTCAGATTTGAGGTGTTACAGCATTATTGTCCTGAGGCTTGCTGGTGTTGGTGTGGCTCAGGGAAAAGAGCCTCTGGACCAGCAGGGCTTTGCGATAATAGAAGTTCTTGTAAATGCTTTTTAAAATTGGACCACATTTTATTGTCCTCATCTGTATATTGATCAGCAGTGGGTGGTGTCCTAATACTGCTCTGCCTACATTCTTTGGTGCTTTTCTTTGCACACAGAGGATAGTTTTACAGAACTCTGTGTGCAGAGCTACTATGGTGTGTTTGTCCTTTAGTATTCCGGGATCACTTGAGTTATTGTGCTTCTGGTCCAGATGACTCAGAAGATTGTGCTGATGATCAAGTTGCATAATGCTTTCACTTTGCTGAATGAAAAAGTGTATGCCCTCACATCCATTATCGTACCCCTTAGGAAAATACTAAAGCTTCTTTGCCTTTCACCTTATCTGATGTTTGAACTGTTTATTATACTGCATTTATAGGCACACTGTAGAAGTGTAGTAGAATACATTTCATTGGTATATATTAAAAAATGATCTTTTACTTCATACTCTATGAAACTTATGGTATGTTAATTCATAAAGTGATTAACATTTTTTATAAAGTAACTTATAATTCACAATTGTAGATGCTTCATTCCACACAAAAAGGTTAGAAATTTTTTTTAAAAAAAGCTTTGTTCATAAACTTGATATGTGGGCTTAATCTTAAAGGGCTTATATAAACCCTTTTAGTAAACGTAAAACATTTCTATCGACTGATCAGGACGCTGGTAGGTTTTAGTAGCCCCATTGTTTAATTAGAAAATTGTGTTCTGTAGGTTAATTTTTAATAAATGTAAAACATCTTCTGGCAAATTGCCTAAGGGGAAGAGTCATGTGGTGCTAATCCACATCACTTCTGCAGAACTGTATGCCACATTTAAAAGTCTGGGAAAAAAAAAACCTTGGTTTGCAAGATAAAAAAAAGTAAATAATATTTTATGTTCTTGAATTCATGGAGTTTATACAGTATTATGTGCCCCTTAACTATTATCTTAATTCTTAAATAGCATAACATCTATAATAGTTCAGGTGGGTAGCTGCGTCAGCATGCGTAGGCTGCAAAGGAACAAGTAATAGGTTTATTCCATGCTGAAAAAAAGAAGAAAGAGAACACAACGTTTCGGCCGTGGAGCACCTGAAGAAGGCTCCACGGCCGAAACGTTGTGTTCTCTTTCTTCTTTTTTTCAGCATGGAATAAACCTATTACTTGTTCCTTAACATCTATAATGGCATCGGTGCGCACACTGAGTTTTGCCCTTCTAAATGGAAAGGAATAAATGTATCACAATTAATTTATTTTTTAAATTCTATTAGTAAAACATTGTAAATCTCTTGCACCGCAGATCCGAAATTCTGGAAGGACGATAGCATCAGAGAACTGTATTTCTGTACACTAGTGATGATTATTGCTTCTGTTATATTATAGGAGATGTGAATCATTTTTATTCAGTCTTTCAAAGGGTTTAAAATAACAAAAAAGGATTAAAAAATGTTATAAGATTCTTAGTTTTTTTTTTAAATTAAATATAACTACAGCTTACCTTGATAAACAAAATGAAATCCTTTAGCTGTTTCTGGACCAACTGTTGTAAACTTGATGGTAATTTGATTGCCTGAACTTAAAGGAAGTGACTCCCCTGTAAACAAAGCAGACCTTAAATTAAGTATATTTTTCTACTTTCATTATTTTAGATAGCTGGAACACTATCTCGAAATATTACAGGTTACCTGGAAATGAGTCAATAAAACATAAGAAATTCATCATTAAAAGCTCTGTTTTTAATAAAATAAACCTTTATTTAACACATTTAATAGTAAAGCATTCATTTTAAATACAATATGTCTGGAGCAACAGAAGTATTTTAGAAATAAGTAGAAGTAATTGTCTGAAGTTTAAATCCTTAGTATTCCCAATTTCATGCAGTAGATGTAGATGAATTTCAATAATGCACAAGACAAAAGTGATATTTCCAGGACTATTTTGTTGGAGAAAATGTTCCCCTTAAAAGACAATCAGGAATCCATCTCAGAAGTTAAAAGCAGTTTTTATTTCATGCACATGGGAGTGAAACACACAAAGATGCTCGCTGTGTTTTACTCAAAGCGATTAAATTAGAACAGTCCTTAAATATTTTCTGTTATCTATCATGCTTCGCTGTGCTTATCATATTGGCAGCATTCCAGGATCATGCTCATCTTCCTCCTCCCTATTTGCTAAAGATAATTTATTTTTACTTTAAAAATTATTTTAACAATAGGTTACTTAGTTTCGCGACACGTGTTCCTATATACTGTATTATAGTACAGAATTGCATAGTAGTCTTTCTGTCCAGTATTCTTGCATTGCAGTTCAAACCAGCAGTTCACAAAGAGACCCTCAACAATTTTCACATACAAAATAAACCGTTCTTCATGACATAAAAGGATACTCAAATACTGTAGTGGTACAGGTGGGTAGCTGCCTCAGCATGCGTATGCTGCAAATTAACAAGTAATAGGTCTATTCCATGCTGAAGAAAACAAAGTTTTCTTTCTTCTCTTCTCAGCATGGAATAAACCTATTACTTGTTCCCTCCTACTCAAATACTGTGGTGAACATTATTTAATTATACTGTATTTTTCACGTTTTGTAATTTGCTCATGTACTGATCATTTGTGCTTAGATAGATCGTTGACGTATACAGTGTTCCAAGAAAGCATTCTAAAGAATATGGTTTTGTCAAGTTAGAAATCCCAGGATATCAATGTGTCAGCTGGAAGAGGAAATAATTATAATGTTTAGGAATGTAAGAATAGCAGATTACATTGCCAAATTATGTTAGTGTAATAGTATAGAAACCTATTCTTCTAATATATATTAATTTGTGTGAAGATCAAAAATGAGTAAAAACAAATCTGACATAATCTATATACAGTATTTTGTGTCAGATGCATTTTTGCATGACATCAAATTAAACAAAATGGATGGCTCTTTAAACAAAAGCACAATGATCTAAGAGGTATCAAAGTCCATTCGCACTTTTCACTTATCAATGGTTAAAAAATGAAATACTCTTAAAAAAAAGCTTTTTTATAAGCTGTCTGCTCCCAGCAGGCCAAAGAGAACATAGGCCTTTGGCAGAAATTTTATTACACATTGACCTAAAAGATCCACATAACTGAAATGAAAACCAGGCAACACCTGAATTGTTGAGATGCATGCTGTATTAGGAACCTTATAATATCACCTACAGGCCAAAGTGGTGTGTAATTTAAGGGAAGAAAAAGAAGGGAAGCAAGTTCATGTAACATGACATCTGCTTGAAGGTTCAATTTGCACTTCAAAATGTTTTCACTGTGATATTTTACAAAGTTGATTCTCAAAAAAACACTTTATCATTGGATCCTTCTAACAGAGTAGATACCAAATACGGTACAGTTTTCTGAATATAACAAGATCATTTTCTTTTATTATATTTACACAAAGTAAAGACATTTAAATAACAACTGCTATTGTGGTGTTATTGTGTCAAAGGGGTATGAAACCAAACAGTGACTTTTACATAATTTACTTAAAGTGAATGTGTCACAAATACTTATTGACACTTGATTAACGGAGATGAACTCAAAGTATATTTTGCTCTGATATGACCAAATGCAGGCATTGAATTACCTAATGTATTCTATCAACATATTTTGAAAAATGTATTCTGCATATTTTTAATTATTTAAGGGATAGGCTATGGAAATTGTTTATATGGGGTGTTTATGTATACTTTACATGTGTTTTTGAAATTTGCTTTATACTGGAATATTGAGAATGAAGGTAGACATCAGGAGGAATGGAGGACAGAGTTCTAAGATACCATGGCAGGCTATGAGATACAGAAGCTAATACTGATAAGAAACACACACTGATGATATTACCCATCTAGGGCTAGCCTGTAAAATGTTTATGACAAAATTAATCAGTTACAGTGTGCTCAAAAAGGTGGGAGTAATTCACTTTATTTTTTTAGTGGGGAGATTCTTATTTTGTTACTTGATATGCATGATATGCATGTTTACCTTAAAGTGTTGCATCTCCTTCAGTGTTGTATATTCCCTTTGATTCCTCATGACCAGGCAGTTTTGTATATCTCTTATACTGTTAATACATACTTCAATGTCCATTTGATAAAATGTTTGTACTAAACTAAGCTTGATCTTACTAGCTACTTATTTAGCCTTTCATGTTGAAATCTAATAAAACACTCTAGCATTTGTTTTGAGTATGAAAAGATTAAAAAAACGGATAAGCTTTATGTATTTTATTGATTGTCAGGGAGCTTTTCATCCTTTTGTAAATTATGCTTTTGAACTTCTCACTGTCTTTTATTTAACATCTCAGCATAATTATTTTGGAAGTAATATTCCATGTATTAATCTATGACTACCTATAAAACATTTCCCAAAATATTTTAGTTTACTAGACACATGTAAATATGTTTAAATCAAGATGCTAATTTTCAAGTACAAAGAAATCTAACTTACTAGGATGTTAAACTGGTTTTTATGAGATGCACATTAAAAGACATTTAAATGGAGGAATATATGTCATTCACTGTCTTTTCTGTGATTATTTATGAGGGAATACATTTACAGTATACAGTATGTCCTTTTTGACCTGACTAGGAATTCAAACTAATGGTCATTAAATGTTTCAGTTTTTCTTTTATTTTCTTCTCCTCATCAAAAGCTCAATAAAAAAGCATTGTAATGTCACATGACAGCCAAAGTGTATTTTAATTGTATGCACAACACATGTGATAATATCAATACCTGCCCCTTTTTTCTACACAAAAAAAAATCCTAATTTCAGAAACCATTCAATTACACGGCAGTAAAGGCTTCTAACTGAGGTGTTGATTAATTTAAACAGCAGAACTCATGGAGTGATGCTGGCACAGGTAGTGTCTATGACACAAAAACCATTTAAGTGTTGATCAATCTCTCAACCTGCTGACAGGTTGATGGTAGATTCACTGTAGGCAAGAGGTTGATTAAGGCCATTCGATAAATTAACATTTACATCTTTATTTTTTGTGTTGAATTGAAGAGAAAATTCTTTTTGGAGAAATGTATTTTCTGATTTTACCTTATACTCTGCAATCAGATTTCAAGTGCAGAAATATACAATAAAACAGATTTACAGCTGGTATAGTCATCTTATCTCTGAGAAATTGTGTGGATAAGCAAACGACACTCAAGATGTCAGGCACTCCCAACTTTATATTAGATCCTAAATTTTCATATCCCCTAAACAACTCTATAAGATATCAAAACACGATTGTGATTATTAATAAGCTGCTTATTTTTACGTAACCAATAAATGATAAAATACAAGATATATGATTTTATATTTATAAATGAGCTTGTACTGTTTAAAGCCCTGAGATTTTCTCTCATGGGAGAGAATTTTGCCATTTGTGCCACAAAATTAGGAAGCAAATGGGGAAAATCTTGGGAATGAGAATTGTGATTGTTTACGTATGGAATGCAGTAGCAACATACAGAAATAATCAGTAAGCAGATGATGTATACATGAAAAGCAGCAACACATTCCCTTCCTTATTCTGAGTACACTAGACTAAAACAGGTTAATAACTATCCCTCATGGCACATTTGTTGTTGCTCACTTACCCTGGTATTTGCTAATGCAATTTGATACAGTAAGTCTAAGTTTTTAAGTTTGAAAGTTTTAATCTTAGCTAATATAACAAGACCACGACATTTGTTAGTTTTATCAGTTACAGTGTGGTGATATTTACATAATTTTACCATGACCAGATTGCATGCTTATCAACAGGGGAAGCTGTTGCACTGAGACAATGAATATTAATTTTATCAATGGCTTGCTATAGGCAAAAACACATGAAGTCAGAAATAATAAGGGATTAAAAATAGCTTTAAGTTGTAGCTGTACTGAAACATCTCACATAACCTAAGCACATCAAAAGGGAGAAAACATGCGCTGTTGAAAATAATGGGGAAAAGCAGTGAGGCAGTTAATACTTAGGATCTAAAACAATAAAAATACTAATAATAAAAAGAGAGAAGGACTTACCTGAATGAGAACCTGAGAGGGAGGAGAGCAAAGGGAACTGTTGGTTGGGTCCATCATAAACATCAACAACATCATTAAGAGATGTCTGGAAGAGTACAAACTGCCCAAACAGAACTGTTGAAACAAGAAGAAACAACAGTAAATACATTCCAATCTATAGTGTGTGGAAGCATTTCTTGAAACAATGATTTCTTCTATTGTTTATGAATCGTACATGTTTATTGGTGATGAAGAATTTCCACCTTGGAAAGATGAAGAATTTTCATCTTTCTTAGAATCAATTTACTGTTGGTTTCACGGACCATACATTCCAATGAACAAGCTAGTGTTTTAATTTAAGGCCCCCAGTGACTGGATTACTATTTAAACATTTCAAAACAAACCTAGAATACTTAATATGAGGGGAAAAAAAGGATGAAGATGTAAATCAGAACTTAACATAAAGCTCCTTGCCAGTGGCCCAGAAGACAGTACAAAGTTAATATTGCTCAGTGCATTCATCTGCAAGTCTACATTCCCAGAACATTAATAATATTATGAAACATAATATAAGCAAAAAACAACAACAAAGGCTAAGATACTGAGAAATCAAGACATTTAATAGTGCCTTAGCCTAAATGTGCCTAAACGTTTGAAGAATTTAATCCAAAACATTATTTTAAAGCTTATTTTTCCACTATTTTTCTATCTCAGTAGTAACTCAAAAGCAATACCAATGTGAGTTAGAAAATTATCTTATTTAATGAATACTGTGTGAACAATTCTTCTACTATACATAGTACATATTTAGATTGCTTAAGTTGGACTAATGACATTAAACAAGTACATCATTATTCTTCATTATATCAGCATACTGCAAAGTCTGGCAAGAAAATCCCAAAGGTAATAAGGCTGAATGTTTATTTAAATCTTTTAATTAGAGTACCTTTGTAAACTGCATTCCTTATGCACCAGGACTGTTTTTATTTGTATTTTAAGTGCGTGCTTTTATTATCTTTAATTACAGTTTAATACATCCTACCCATGAATTAATACATTCTTAGATTTAACTTTGTATGTTTCTTTTTTCATGCTTCTAAGCACAATTCTGATCAAATTATTACAAAGCCTGAAACAATTAATTAATAAGACAAAAACTATTGAGTTCATTTCTCACTTCTATACCTTATTTTCCGTGTAGTGAATTGCTAACACAGAACTGCTGATGCATACCACCCTGGTGGGTGTCTCTTTCTGACCTGACAGAAGTGAATGAAATTAATTAAATTTTGCAGACGATGTCAATTGCGAAACCAAAAAAGTCTCAGGACCAAATTATTTTGAGTATCAGATACTACACCTTTCATCTCCCATTTAAACCCCTGAATGCATATTTATTTAATGTAATGAAAATGGCAGTTTAGTTTCTTTAAAAATTAAGTGTGTGAATACAGACAGGGGGCATTGTATACATTCGTTTTTTTATATTTTATACTTTTTTTCTACTAAGTTTTTAAATTTAGGAAAACGAACCAGACATGTATTTAAACCAAACACTTTCAGACCTTCTCAGCAGTGCCAACATGATCTGTGGAATAGCAAAGTAGGAACTGGATGGTGTTCAGTTATTACAATTTCTGACAACAGTACTAAAATAACATTTCTATTGTGTATTTGCAGAGATGGTCACATGATTACTTGACAGAAAAACCATGCTATGTTGTGTATTTAGCAGTATATGGAGGACGATGTAAATTGACAGACTCTAAAAATGCAACACATTATTATGGGAACCAATAGAATGTGTTGTGGTTAATGCATCTTATTAAACAAAACTCATTTTGTTTATTAGTTGTGTACATAGAGAAATTAGTGGAGATTTCCTTGCATTTTAAAGATACATTTATATTACAGATTCTCAAAATGTAAATAAAAAATAAATGTCTTAAAAACAACCAATTTCAAGAGATCAAATGCACAGTTTTAGTTTAGACCCATTAAATTCACTCGTGGATTTTCTTATAAGCACATTTAACGGAGAACACAATTTCTTCAGCTACAAATTGTATCCATATATACAGTTAATATTTCATTAAACAGTGATATTGCTCAGTTCTTATGTGAAAAGTGGAAAATTGGAAAAGTCCAGTTGCTTTTATCTTGGGAGGTGCTTGTAGCCAATATGTTGTGATTAATTAGGGAAAAGCTATGCATACAAAAACCTGAAAAGTCACATGGCTACAGTACAGTATGTGTGAGCCATACACATTATCCCGCTGTTAACATGGTCCTTTTAACCTATTTATGATGTCATATCAATTACCAAACCACTTTATAGCATAAGGTGTTGCGGGAAGCCAGAATCTACCCGGCAAGCAACGAGCGCGAGGCAGGGTACACTCTGGACAGGGTGCCAGCCCACCCCAGGGCAAGTACAAGACAATCATACATGGGGACAATTTGGAGACCACGGTAAAAGCTGAGGGGGGAAGTTTGGCCTGACACCGGGATAACTACCTACCCTTATCCAGAAATGCAGAGAAATCGAGAAATTAAATTAAATGTGATCTTTAATGACCACTGAGAGTCAGGACCTTGGTTTACGTCTCATCCGAAAGATGGCACCCTATACTATACTGTAGTATAGTATCCCCACCAATATACCTCTAGGATTAGGAGCCACATGGACCACAGGGTGGGTGCCCCCTGCTGGTCCCATGAAAACCACTTCCAGCAGCAACCATAGATTCCCAGGAGGTCTCTCATCCAGGTACTGACCAGGCTCAACCCTACTTAGCTTCAGTGGGTAGCAAGTTGAAAGCTGCAGGGTGATATGACTGCTGGCTTCCTTATTTATTATAACTTCACAATTTAAGAAATAATAAACTGTGGGGAATTGTGAAAATGAGGCTCAGGTTGGTTTCCCACCCCAGCTTGGTTTGTAAGTTGTTTTGCCTAACCATATTCCCCCGTGTTGTAAGCTTAACATGGGGAGAGCTAACTTCTCCTCTCTAAGCCCTTCATCATAAAAGAAAGTGAACCATACATCTCCCCATTTTAATATTCCTAACCTTAACATACTGTATACTTTTTGTGCTTTACCTTCATTTCCGCACCTAAAAAATGCCCCCACTCAGTATGTTAAATTGTAGCAATTTAACTGAGGAGAAGGCATAACTTGCCCTGATAAAATGTTTCTGATCCTCTGGAAATGCTGGTACAAAGATTCTATCAATACTTGCTAGAGGGTACTGTATATCAAAACAAAGGTCTGTAGCCCTGGCGACAGCCTTTACAGTTCCCAGCCATGTGCGCACCAATCCAAATGCCTGCCTCAGCAGTATTTCAAAACATTCATTTAATGCATAGATCTCAGCCAGGCAAGACTGCCCTTTTTTCATATGTTACGCTTAACTTATTATGACAGATGCTTACAATGTTGTATGGAAATTAAGTCTGTGATTAATTCAGGTAGCTTTCTGATAAGGAATATTCCTCAAAACTATGTATGTATTTATTTTTTATACCAAGTATCTGCCGCTCTCAATCTTTGATTTATCTTTCAGCATTTTATTTGGATGTGATAAAAACCAAAATTGTAGTAGCAGATTTAAAATTCACACAGGAGAACTAGGTAACTGAGAAAATTCACTAAAGAAGCTTACTGTGATAAGGAATGACTATAAAGTCATTGTACTGTGTAAGCAATGCGTGTAATCTAGACAGCATGCAGAGACTGCTACTGAGAACAGAGTACAGTTTCTGTGTTTAACAGCTTGGGAATGTTAAGGTAACACCATGTGAAACTGACCTTTGTGTTATTTCTTAAGACCTTGTTTGAAAGCAACTTAGCCACAATGATTTCTTCACAAAGACAACAGGGAAAAATAAACCACAAGGTAATAAAAAAGCACATTAGTGTTACCTAGACCTTGACCTAGAATGCCATCTAAGCTTAAAAGACTAAGCTTCTATTGCACCTTTAGACTTTTGGTTAATGGTAAATCTTTAAGCATAGAGGGTATTTTTGTGGGGGAAAAAATACTTGACATTGTAGTTAAAATTATTGCTGTGCTTTGTATAATACTTTTTAGTCTGGCACGTGATATGGGCTGAAAGTATTTTTTATCTTTGTCACACAATATGCAACAATATGCCTTCTCCTCACTAATCAATTACAGTGATAGAGGACTTTAAATCAAATCTATATACTATCTAGTTCAATATATTCTATACTACTCACATAATGTTACACCTACTGCACTGTATATCCATGAATGTCCGATTACCACTGACTTATTTAACCAAAAAAACAAAGGAAATGGTTCCTATGGGTTTTTTTTGTGAATGAATTACCCAGCAAATACACACTCCCACAATTATTAAAATGCTGACATTAACAACATACTGTCCACTCATCTACATACTGTACAGTGTACTGTCCTGAGGCAGAGCATTCCACTCCACTACAAATGCAATACACAGTACCACAGGCTCATGAGAGTGCTGTGATCATTAAGACACAAGCAGGCAGAGTTGCGCAATTGAGTTCAGGACTCAGTGATGTCCATTTTTGTATGTAGGTACCTTGACAGCACAAGTGCCTATTACTGTAAATTCTGTAGCCACTTTTTGTAGAGCCTGTTAAAGGTGTTCTAGTGTCTTTTGTGAAGCCTGCTGACAATACTCTGTGCAACACAACGTTATTGATTTAAATCATCCAACTTTATCCTGCTATTTTAATCCATTTAGGCAACACTCTGGCAAAAGTCTTTTTGTACACAGTCATAGTTCAACTATAACAGGTACATGGGGCACTGAATACTCCAATCTCTATCCATGGGGAGTTATAGCCCATAGCCACATGGGTTTGTACAAATTAAGATAGTTAAGAAGTTTGGCCACTCCTCAATTTCATGTCAGTCAATAACATTGATTCATTATGAGTACAGAATGAACCAATAAAACATGCGACCAAGATAATGTATCTGTTGCATGTTGCAAAGTCAGTTTGTCAATAAGTCCATCTTTGTGGACCAAATCTTAAATTTTCCTAACCTTTTGCTAATAATGAATGTGCTGTTACAGAAATGTAGATGCATTAAGAAAATAAATAATATCTTATAAAAACCTTA